CGATTTAAAACCTGAAAGCACTGAATGGCCGTTTCGTCCTGTTGTGGGACTCCTCAGCAGTGCGCATCCACGATCCCGCGAGCGGGATGTGTTAACACTATTGGATGCTGGCTCAGTGATCCAGTAGGTTGAGCGTTCACGCGCGAGACTGTAGGTCCTGGGTTCGAATCCCGCGAGCAGGATCGTAGATGCGCACTGCTGAAGAGCCCCACAACAGGACGAAACGGCCATTCAGTGCTTTCAGGTTTTCAATCGTGGTATAACATCAATCGGGATTTTCTTTTATCATTTTGACACACACAAAATTCCCATTTGTCAATATAGTTCTCTCGGTTGCTTCGTTATGCCAAATAAACTTTCAATTATCAGTGAGACTATAATTTATTGACGACTGTTAGGCGACACCAAAATTGAACTTAAGAAAATTCACCTACTTCGTAGGGTCAGAAGAGGATTATAGATTAGTGTTGAAAATGAGGATTTGGATTGAGAATTAGAAGTTAGGGTTAGAAATTATACTGAGGGTTTTCATCATAAACTGAGATTAATGCAAAAACTCTATGTAGCCAAATGGATGAATGAACTTCGCGCCAAAATCCAACACTGGCTGTCTTTAATTTTTTTTCGGTTCATCCATAAATTTTTATCTCTCTCAAAAATCTAACGATTATATGCTGTTACGTTGTGGCTGTTATTTTTAATACGATAATTTCAATATTGACTACAATTTAAAAGATAATACTGGTTGTTATTATCTTTTGTTGTTTTGAGCTTATGCGTGCAACTTTTAGGATTTCACAAGTAAATTTCAACATACATATATGTGTATAGGAATTGTTGCCTAGTCGTGTTACTTAGTTTATGGTTGTCTATTTACCATATTTCTATCTAAGTTTGAATACAGAGATATGTATTAACTTAGTAAGCTGTCTGTAGTTTAGCCGTCTATGACGACCGACCTATTAGAAGCCTAACAACAGAATCTTGTGCACTTTTCAAATGATGATATATGGCTTGTAGTTTTTTTGATGTTTTTTCATTAGTTAACAAAGTATTTAACTAAACTTATTTTTAGGCGAAGTGATAAGCTTTGGTACATTAAACACATTTGTATGACTAATATAAGGCGGCATGAAAATAAATTCACTGGAAGAAACAATACACTTGACACTAAACGATGACTCATCTATTCAACCAAATGACATAAGAATTACATTTTTACCATAAATATCGCATTATCAATACATTAACATAAGATTAGCATTACATGGATAAAATTTCACATTCAAGTCTACACTTCTATGTATTTGTTATCAGTTAAAGATAACTTAGAACTGTACCTGCATTTTGTATGCTCCAAGTTTACTAAAATCTGATTAGGATTCGTTTGATCTACAATTTGGACACAATTTTCCTCTTACCTTAATATTTGTTAATAGTTTAGCCAAATACAGTTATCAGTAGCTTTATTGTGCATACATAAAAAACGACTAAATCGGTTATAAAAAAACAATGTGGTGTAGATATAGTTTCACTGTGTTTCTGTAATATCGATGGTTTTATCCGTACTCGGATGATCAGGTTTCATACATTAGAAAACATATAAGTTATTGGTGAGTTTTTACAGAATTAATTTAGGTAGGTTTTTTTTATATTTTTACCGCTATTTTCTTTGTTATTGAAGTTAGACAAAGGAAAGGGAAAAAATATCAAGTAGAAGCATCTGTTCACAATATTCACTGACTAGTATTAGAATGACTAAGGTTTTCTTTCTTTTAACTCTAACGCTAAATTTTAAGGGTACAACCATAAATATAAAAACATGATAGAGGTTGATTGAATTGTTATCACAATATGTGCTCGATTTGTCTAGATGTGCACTTTTTTTCGCTTAAGTGATATGAAGATGTAATATGACTTACTTTTAATTAAAGTTTGTTTTAATGATGTTGCCTAAATGGATGATGGAAGCGTCACAACAAAACAACCAAAACCAGAAAATACAACTTCGTTAAAATTATCCATCCAAGTTACGAATCTTCTCTACCATTTCAATAAGTAAACTTAAATATCACAAAGAGATTTACTTTACTGAAGAAGTATACAAATATACATATATTGTCGATGTCTAGTATAATAAAGCAAAATTACAGATTCTGAGTTTCAGTTTACATTGATACATTATCTCCAATGGAGGTGCAAGCGTTGAACAAAACTAAAATAACTTTTTAAAATGTAACTTCTAACCAAAACTTGATGTATAAGCAAATTATATATATATATATATATATATATATATATATATATATATATATATATATATATATATATATATATATATATGTAGTTTAGAATTCCTATTTATTGGTTGTTGTTTTATGTGACTGACAGATTATCGTTGCATTTCTGATATGAACACTTGTTAGGACACAGTAAACACTTTGTTTCATCATTAATTCTACATGTTAGGTGAAAAACATGATACGAACCTAAGCTGATCACAACTATTCTGTTTGTACACGGACAATATTTATAAGCTGAAAATGTAATTAGAATAGATAATAATACTTAAATAAATTCTTAATTTAGACAATGATTAAACACTTGTTTACTTTTAAAAAGAGATTCCATAAAAATATGGATTATTGTATTTTTGAAGCATTGATCCAAATGTATCATGACCATATTGATTATTCAATGTCCTACAATTGATGGGTGCATACTTCTGTGAAGTTTCTGATCAGATGGGAAAATCAGTTGTTCCATGTTTATTAATTTTTCGAATGTTCCTCATTTAAAATTATACTATGATTTTTATCTTGGAATTATACAAAATCTCGATAAAATTACATTAAGAGTTGGATTCATGAGTCGAGTTGAGCTAGACCACCATGAAAAACCTGGAAGTTCTGGACGGTCTTTTCATCCTAGTATGCGACTCCTCAACAGTGCACATCCACGGGCCCTCACCCCGCGAGATTCGAACCCAGGACGTTCGGTTCCCTTGATTCCAATAGTATTTCAACTGAGATCAAATTTTGACGGATATAATCTGAAAGGAAATTATACTTCTAAGCAAAGATGGATAGTGGCTAGCAGTGGAATCCAGGACGCGCGTTTCGTTCTATTTGGGACCCGTTAGCTAAATGTACCTGCATCTCAGATTTGATGTTCATTCCGGGACTCGAACACAGTACCGTCCGCTTCAAACACCGTCGCGTTATCCACTTAGCTATTGAGTCCTATATATCTTTGCTTATAATGCTTGTGAATTAAGGCTAATGGAGGCAATACGCATAGTATACACATATGCCAATAAGAGACTGATTAATTGCAATCCTAAACATAAATGGGAAGATTCAAGTAGACAATGTCAAGTGAGTTTACAAATGATCAATTAACATCGAATGGAAGCTTTAGTTGGATTAAATCTATAATTATCATTTGCCAAATCATTTTTGAAATATCAAAGATTAACTGAATAATCTTTTTATCCTTATAGTTATCTTATTTTTACCATTAAATTATCTATTATGACCGATCAACTCTGTTTGTTTTTTATTTTGTGTATATGGTGATTTTTTAAAACTAACTATTATAGTTTAATAAACTAATTCCTAACATTATTCAAGGTTAAAGCATAGTTGACTAGTATTATTTATCATGGGGTTAATTTGTTTGTGTTTTCTTTTTTGAGTTACAAGAATGAAATGATCAAAATCTCCAAAATGAAACTGAATATTATTGATTTTTTTCTCAAATAAACTTTTAACTTTTCATTTCTATAGAGCAATTAGAAGATAGAGTTGACCGACTCTATTTTCTGATTGCTCTATCGAAATTTATAAAAGGAACTAGTTGTTTTAACTTATCATTGTTGTATGATATATATGGATAAACAAGTAACTATCAGTCAACTATTCATCAATCCTAGTTAGATTGTTAAATTTGATTACTATATAGTTTGATACCTGTATAATTGCATAAGTCATACGTCAGAATAGTTTAGCAGTACTCATATATGGTCATCTGGTCTTTTGTTGTTTTAATCATAATTCTGAAGAGGTAGTGATTTTATAATAGTTTATCAATCGTGTGAAAATAATGCAATAAATGAGTTGGTGAATTTATTGTCTGTGACGCAGTCAAATATAAAATTCATCATTAAATATATTTTTTTCCATCACAAAATCAATCTTCAATTCAGGTTTTCATTTGCTTGGAAGTGTAACATTCTCTAAGCTGCATAGAATGATAGCTAATTGGTTAAATGATTTACTTTTTACTTAACAACTCACCTTTTGAAACTTTACTTACACAATTAAACCATCTGAATCAGAGGATTTCCGAAATTTTTCTCATGGGCTTCATATTGTCTTTCTCTTATCGATTCTCCTTTAGACTTAAATTATAGAACGGAACCCCTTGAATATGCACAATTAAATTTAGATACTATCATTTTTGTGTTTCAAATTTATTCAGCCTAATTTTTTAAATCTAGAATAAGCTACAAATAAATATTATAAATACTATTAAGAAATAAATTATTTATAAGGGTTTGAATAAGTGGCCATCTGGAGTTTTGATACTTTGTGGATGATGGGTCGGCGTTTGAAGCAACAGTTGATGGGTAAACGTCAACTCTGGAATGCAGGTACATTCGGCTGACGAGTCTCAAATAAGATGAGACGTGAGTGCTGGATTCTACTATTAGGTGCCATCCATCTCTGCTTATAATGCTTGTGACTTAAAGCAATATTGAATCAATCCGCACAGCATGAACATATACCAATAAGTGACTGATCAATTGCAGTCCTAAATATCAATGGAAAGATTCAAACAACCAATATAAAATGAATTGAATCTACTGTTTATATAAATCAGTTTGAATTTGTTAAACTTTCTCCTTATTCTTTTAAATAGAATTGGTGTTTTTTCAAAACCAAAAAACGACATTTCTATGTACTATTTTATCTTTTATTCTATATTTCTCTATTAAGGTACATTTTAAAGTACGATTTGATGCAAAAGATTTTTTACCAGAAGATATTGAAGTAACTACAGTTGATAATCATCTACGAGTTCATGCTAAAAAATCAATTAAATCAGGCAATTCAACAACTGTACGTGAATTTCATCGTTCTGTTGATTTACCAAGATCAATTGATCATGAAAATTTTCAGTGTCATATGACAGAGGTAAGATTAATTGTATTCTTAATATTCATAGTAAAATCTTATTAATTTTTCAATCAATAACCTTACTTACTTACTTGAACAATTTTTTTCTGGTTAACGTTTTTTTAGCGAGTTAGTTTTCTATGGGATGGGGTCGCTAACCCCATGCCCAATACTCCTCCTTTATCCGGGCTTGGGACCGACAGTAGCCTCCGGAGGGACTCCAGGCGGAGTTAATGAATAAGCTATATTATACAAGCAAACTAAATAAAATCAATTAACAATAATCATGATGTTAGTTTTTGTTCAATATCATTAGAAAATTTAAGAAATAGTAATGTGTACAATACACCTTTATTATATAAAAATTAATTATTATACTCATAGTAAACGTAAAACAGTTTTCAATGTTGATCTGGAAGTGGGCAAACGCATATGGAGAAATTCGAACACTTCAATTCTACCTAAAGTTTGTGCTGATGATGTCGTTCATAAGAACGATGAAAGCTCCACGACCAAGCCATCTAGCTCAAAGAACAAAACTCCATCAAAAGCAAACTACAGTTTTCAGACTACATACATACTGTGGGTTCTCTTAGAAATGACGTGATTTATAATTAGTTTAGAGAAAAAATAGAATGTTTGTAGTCGTTAAGGTGGTTGAGATGAATCTCACCTTACTTTATGAGCAGCTTGAGGAACTTACCTACGCTTATTTCCGGAAACCGAGCCCACAAGTAGTCTTTCTGGAACCTGAACAGGAATATAGAAGCCAGACATCAGTGCGGTGATAATGACTAATCACGACGTTTTGGATTATTTCAAAAACTTGAGCCCATAGTTTAGTTTTTTCACTGACGTATTTTAAAAAAAAATTGAAACAACTAATTTTAAACTCAATTTAGGATAAATAGATCTACAAGTTAATACCATCTTGAATGAAAACTTCAAATATATAACACTGGATGAATTTTGTGTCATTAACAGAGGGTAACTTTCATAAACAAAAAAAGTGTCATATACAGAATTTCACTTTATAGAGTCATCGTGATGTTGAGAATTAGTAAATCTAGAGATCATTGTAGGACTTGTCAATCTTATTTTGCAACTCCTTATCATTGTACATTCACAGTTACACATAGTACTCATAGGGTGGGTCATTTTCACGGGGATACCCTTAGATTGTTTGGTCGAAATATAATAGTTTCCGTTCACAACTTGAGTAATGTTTATAATAAAAAATATTCCATTAGGTTGTATAAAATTTAGATTGTATCTTATCAGTCAATAGACGGTAAATTCATGTTATTTTATTATGAAATTATATTACTGTGTCTTATTTTAAACGGAGTTCAAGGTTAAATTGAACTTTAAAAATACTACTCTATGGAGAACAGACAACAAAATCTATAAATTTTAATCTTATGACAAATGTACTTTAAAAGTTCTGCAACTATTTTATTGATAGAAGTTTTCTAAACAATCAATATTGTTTTATTATGGTTACGAGAATAAATAAATTGGTGAACAATTTGAATGTTTATTTATAACAAAAAGTTAAAAGTAAACAACTCAATATTAAATTAGACGCATAACTTAATTTATTTTTAGATATTTATTATGATTACACTATTTTTAAAAAAATATAATATTGATGATTAAATGGGTGAAGAGTTGCTCAAGATCATGGATCTATTGAGGTTGAACATTAACACTAGTGGATACCGGCTCAGTAGTCTATAGGTTAAACGTTCACGCGCGAGACCTAGTATCTTAGATTTGAGTCCCACGTACGGGATTGTAGATGTGCATTGCTGAGAAATCCTATACTAGGATAAAATGGCTGTCCTGGGCTTTCAGGTTTTCAATAGTGATCTAGCTTAGTTGACTTGTGAATTCAACATTATAAATGGTTTTTGTTACTTTTCTTAATGAAATTTATTAAGAAGTAAATTCAATAACTGAATGATATTGTACAACCCATGATACTTAATGAGATTATAGCATAGTTTCTATATATTATATTGTGAGTGAGTACTACGAAGTAAGTTCTAAATACAGAAATGCCCACAAAGGTCAGGTTGAGTTAGTATTGTAAGCGTTTAAAATGGAGCTTGATTACTTAGTTGTTTAGTTATAGGAGTATAACTACTATTCTGTTAGTTAAGCCTGTGTAATGATGTAATTAATTGGTAGTTTTGTCTTTGTAGTTACTATTCGCTTAGGACTGAATATGAACAGCAAGCACGTTAAGAAGCAAATAACTTTCATCAGTTGACTAACCCACTTTGCCAATTTACATTATATTTCCAAATATTTTTAATTCGAAAGTCTTTCATTAGATTTAGTTTATAATTTTTATTTTACTTTACTCCTGTTTACATCAGTTAGTCGTTTAATAATTGATTTTCGTTCACTCAAATACCACTAGTCCTGATTGCTCTTTTTATACAAGAATAATATTGCATATTCTTGCTAAACAGTTGTTTAGAGTCTGTACAGAATCTAAAGATCCCTATTGATTTTTATAAAATGGAACTAGTTCATTGTTTATTACAATTTGTCACATAAATATTGAAATGATAAGTGTTTGGGAATCCTTTCAGTGTTCAACTTTTACAGTTTTTTTAATTTTCAGTTTAGGTTTGTGGAGATTGTTGAGTTTTATTTGAGATTATGAACCGATCAATCATAGACCAGCATTGGAAAACTGGAAGAGACCCATACTAGGATGAAATGGCCGTCTCGTGCTTTTCATATTTTCAATGGTGGTCTAACATTGATCGGTACATGTTATCAAATTTTATTTGTTTAAAGTAGAACTAAATAACTCATAAATCCTGCTATAACAGAATGAACTTATTTCTTTCATTTAAACTGAATACAAACTGACTGAGTAAAACTAGAGGTTTTCTCTTCTTGACCAATGACCACGCCCATTGAGATGGATAATTTAAGGTGAAGTATTCAATAAATTTTGCCTAAAACGATTCTGTTTACAATTTTAATAATCTTATGTTATCAGAATGGGTTTTGTGGAGATTTTTAGAAATTTCACAGATAGAAATCATGAGTCAGTTGAAGCTAGACCAGGTTTTCAATGGTGGTCTAGCTTCAACTGACTCATGATTTCTATCTGTGAAAAATCTTATGTTAATCCGTTATGTCTAATTGGTTTAGATAGTCCCCATCTTTATACATAAATTTACTCATGTGTGAAGTTTCACTTTTGAACGTTGAAGGTAAATAACAATCATTATTAAAAACAGCCTAGATATTCTTTGTATGATAATAATAGTGATAATAATGGTAATAATAATGTTTGTATGTATGTGTGCATGTGTGTATGTAATCGTTTCTTTAAGAACTATACTACTTTGTATGAACTTCAGTGTGATGAATAGAAATGACTGTAATTATAGATAAGGGATAACACTTTTTATCGGGTAATGATTTCTAACACTAAACATGGTTACTACAATCCATTGTAACACACGCATACAGAAAACGGTACTATGACTACAAGCCTTTCAAGTATAAAAGAGATATGTATGTCATTCACCAATAGACAACACTGTATGGAAAGCAACAGTTATCGCAATCTCCTGTAAGGTCTGATAAATCAAACTAACTAAACCTTCGTTTGACAGTTGGATGCGATATGAAGTCAGCTTTTAATGAATGGAGTTGAAAATCTCAATGATTATCTTGGAGGGACTTTAGATTGACTTAATTAGTTATGGTTAAAATAAAAGGATTCATTATAAAATTAAACATGTCTACTTGTACGATAGAATTATGAGTAATGAACTAGAAAACCATTGAGCTATCGGATAGCTATGTTCTTCCTAGCTTAAGACTCTTCAACATCACGTACAAGTAAATCCGTAAGTGTTCATGATCACGACCTGGATATCACAGGGTACAATATCGTTGAGACACTGAATTTGGATCCAATGGCCTGAATTTTCAGATTCAGTTAATTAGCGAAGTAGCACAATTCTCACTCAACTACAGTTAAATTGAGCAAAATCTCTCTTGAAATTTGCCTTGGATTCAGATTTATAATAATTAAACAGTTCTTCGACAATGGGAATGTATATTCTCTTTCACTCACTTTATTATCAAGTGTTGTTTATCAAATTTCTACCTTCATAATTTGTTTGAATAAAGTATCATGAATCTGATAGTGTCAATCCAAGAACTGACCGGTTTATCAGTGTAGTAATACTTTTATCAATGATTTCGTGGGACCGTTTTTTTAAAGAAAATACAACAAATACAGTTTCCATTTTAAATAGTATAGGATTATTCAGCAAATGGAGTGAGTGTTCAGCATCTTTAAATGGAAAAAAATGAACGACCTATTTCTCAAGTACTTAATATTGATGATTTTCTTTGGCTGTTATTCGTATCTAAATATTTCGCTCATTGCTGAAATCGACAAAACATATGCTATCAGTCATTTTGGACTTATAGCTAGTCTGACAATAGAGGACGAAATGGTCGAGTAGTTAAGCCACTTGATTCTTGTCAGAGGCCTCACCAATCATAGTAGCGGAATCTCTGGATTAACATAAAAAGCTTGGTGGGGGGTTTTCATCTTGTACTACTTATAACACAAGCTGGACGCTTGCGTGATCATCAAAGAGCTCGTATACTGTGCTTTGCTTTAGAGCTATAAAAGATAGTCTATGAAGGTAGAAGACAGGAATAGTCTTCAAAATATTTCGTCATATAATATACCTAAATGATTGTTCACTTGTCATGGGACTACCAACTGTGTAGTTGTGATTAGATGTAATAGTTCTCTTGATCAGGTCATCAGCTTTCATTACTGCAAGTACTCAGATACTGCTTACTCCGACACTCAATACTGGATATTGTAGAAGTAATGATAAATATATTTTTGTGATATTCCAATGAGTAGAAATTTGTATTTCTGACGTTTTGTGACTTAATATAGGTCTATTCTTCAGAGTAAATAAATAAATTGTAGAATTATTTTGGAATAAGGTAGCTACATTAGCAATATTGCATACCCTATATAGTCATTGCCTGCTGCTTAGACCTGTGTGAATTTGTGAATATTCTCCACTGGAGCCCAAAGAATAATTGTACTCTGTTGTTGAAGATTTAAAGTGACACGGGACTAGGTCAGTTTCAGTCGTGCACATATATTCATTATTTATTTTCCTTTAGATTTCGTGTTTGATACTACTCCATAGTCTTCATTTTCCGATCATATTTATTCCTTTCAAACTATACTTCTCTACTATAGTTTCTACTTTCAAACATATTATTACTCCTAACCATTCCTGATTTTTCATTCAGTAAATTTCGTTTCTTATTGTGCTGATGTGAGGCATTAAAAATTGGACCGAAAGACAAAATCGTACGAGGTTCCACCTTGTTTATAACTGATGGATTGATTGTCTGTGAATTCATCCATAGGAGATATTGCGACCAAGTCATTTCCGTAATTGGAACATATTTCGGTCATCCACCCAGAGGTTTTTTAGATCCATTTTAGGAGACTTATTTCAAGAACAAGCACTTACACTTTTCTCCTTTTACACACAGTTTATAAATTGTTATTTGGAACTCACTTTATTGATTTGAATTTTTTATTATTAACAGGATGGTGTATTGATACTAGATGCGCCTGTTAAAGCTCCTGACTATCGAACAATCACATTTCAAGATGATCGTCAACTTGGCATCCGACCACGTGCTGAATCTGAGATAAAAGCCACTCCTAATAGTAATAAAACACCAGTCTGTTTAACTGTAACCGGTTAGTTGCATCACTATGATTCTATATTTTATTCTGAATTTTGCTAAATCATTGCTGTCCAGTATAATGAAGAGGTCTTAGCCTCAACTTATGACTTTATATGATATTATTGATATCGAAAACAATTCTTGGTTAAACTGTCAGTCATTCTGTGAAAAACAATGAGTTCCTGTCAAACTATATCTGTTGTCCAATCATCTTTATATGGATAATTTCAAGCTTTGTTTTACAAGTAGGGCTATGAAACAAGTGGTTGGTGGATTTCTGAATTCTAGCATATTTCCAAAATAATTTATACATTATGTGAATATTATTAGTAAACTAAAAGCATTTGTTTTCGAAGTCGGTTTGACTCCGCAATTAATAGCAATTTAATTGATTAAAAAACTTTTTAGACAGTGAACAACTAATCATTTAATATATTCTTAAAAAATTCAGCCATAAATACTTTCAAGTCATTAATTACTTGATGTAATAAGCTTTTATCAAAAGAAATGGTCAGAAAGTTTTGTGTTCTACATTGATCCACTAAAGTCTACGCAGTCTAACATTTCTCGAAATGTTATTTATTTATTTTAACACATAGATATTGGTACAATGAAGCACCAAATACATATGCGCCACACAGATCTCATTTTATATGTGTGAGGGCTGTGATACTGCTCGGGTGCCCAGACCGAAGCAGGTGGTTTTCTTAGGGGGCCACACCCTGGGCCTTCGACCTAAAGGTCTGATCCACAAGGCAGTGGAACAACGTCAGGAGATGCAGTCCCATGGTAGCTAGTGATCAACAATAGGTTCATACGCCATTTGTTCCTTCAGGATACTGGAGCCCATGTGCATCATTGGTTTGAGATCAGGGTTTTCCAACTCCCCTAATTGAACTCTCCATATCCACTAACCAGGTTAAAGGGCCGGACATTCGCTTTTCGTCCTCTCAGTTTCGTAAACAACACCCCCGCCACGAAAAACCAGTGAGTAGGACTTCCCTGACAGAAGCTATATACGCGTGGTCATGTGAGAGCATTTTGAGAGAGAGAACTGACTCTCCCCACTCTCGGCCGTACCAGGGCATTTGGAAGCTTGAATGTATTACTACTTCTGGGTCAAGAAACTGTTATAGTCCGTCAAGATATTGACTGGTTGGTTTGAGATGTACAAAAAATGACCAATATCAATAGTTTAAAATTAATTGCAATGGTACATTTGTCATACTTCATCATTCTTCTAATTCTTAAATATTATGTTATTTTACGTCTTCCATTGTCGGACTTTTCTCTCAATTCTTTCCACCTTTCTTACATTTTGTTGGCTTTTCACTACTATCTGTATTATAGCTTTCAGTCATTTTTGTTCTTCCTTGATGTGCTGATTAAGAGATATGAAAAATGATAATTTATAAGATAAATCTACATGTTAATTCCTGCTTTTCAGAAATTGAGACTCATAACTATAACACTACATTTTATCATTACCATAAACATTAAGATTAGTAATTTTTAGTCAACTTAATTTTTCCAAAGCCTCAAAAGATAAGTTAATGAATTCCTTCACTTCAATTTACATTTCTCACTTCACATTTTGTTGTGTGGCTGGGTATATCAACCGTTCGATTCAGTTTCTATTCAAGTGCGTTCAACAATATTTTCATGCAAAATTAAAACGAGGCAAGAATGAATACAGAAGAAAAACTCGTTAGTACAACATTTTGCTAATACTAACTATTCAACTAAGACTCATAGTTTAGCTTTATTTATCATACATATTGAATTAAAAGCATTGAGATTTTACATCCCATTGATAAATCCATTATCATACGTACATAAAGTTCCCACATACGTATTCATAAGAAAATTCTCTAACTTTACCTATTATTATTGAAATCCCTTTTGTTATCCAAATCAATCAGCCTTAACTTTCTTCTTGTACTCTGTTAACCTGTTGTCTTAAATCAATGTGTTCATGTGTCAGTATTTATGACTTAATAAAAAAAAACAAAAAAAAATAATAAGGCGGTCATTTTCATTCATCATCAATTTAGTTTACATTTTTTCTATGATAGAGTTTTAATAGGGTGTTTTTTTTCTCTTCTATTTGTCCATGTGTTAATTTGGTTGAATGAATTGATTTGAAGAAAAAAATCAATTTATTGATTATTTCATTTTTGTGGTTTTTATTAAAATGTAAATTAAATAGTTGTAATTATATACATGTAAACAACACACATACAAACTCATTAATCTTTTTTCTTTCATTGTTAAAATCTTTAAACAAAAATGCACAATTCAATATGAATCTGAAATGAAAAACGTTATTAATCACACTTTATTTAACAAAATACATTTAAATAAGATCACCTTTATATTATATGTATGTAACTATTGGGACGGTTTTCGAGAATTATGACGGAGCCTCCAGAGGTCCTAAAAGAGTTGAAGATTTTCCGTCCAATCAGAACATGATGGAGCTTTCTAGAATATCAATGTGACATGCTGTGATTGAACAGTAGAATAACTTGCTTCTTTGTGGCTGAATTATAATGTTCATATAACAAACACTAATACCAATAAATACCCTTGATTTCCTGTACATTTTGATTCTTACCCAACAAATAGTTTTCCGATTTTCTCCTGTCTTCTAATTTTGGGTCTGTAGGGTTCTATACGTTCGAGTGCTGTAGTTGTATACCGTATACTGCGTTAATTAAGTAACGAACATAGCAATAACATTATCTTTTTTTAAAGTATATTTTTTTTCTTAATAAGTCTCGAAATTATTCATTATTCAAATTCACTTGGTGTTGATTTAATTGTATCTTCCCATTGTTATTTAGGACTGCAATTGATCAGTCTTTTGTTGGCATACGTGCATCCTGTGGGAATTGCTTCGATGTAGCCTTAAATCACAAGATTTTTAAGCAAAGGTGGATGGTAGCTAGCAGTGGAATTCAGGACGCGCGTTCCGTTTTATCTGGGACTCTTCAGCTGGATGTACCTGCATTCCAGCGTTGATGTCCATTCCGGAACTCGAACCTCGTACCGTCCGCTTCAAACGCTGTCACGTTATCCACTTAGCAACTGAGCCCTGATAGCCACCTGCTTGTGCAATGGAGTGAAGTTTAAATTCACTTGGTGTTATTTTACTTGTAACAGGTACATCTAGTTGACGTGTCTCAAATAGGACGAAACGCGCGTCCTGGATTCCACTGCTAGCCACTGTCTCCATCTTTGTTTATTCGTTATTCAGTTAAGTTGTTCAAACAAAATAATGTACACCTCTGAAAAATATTTAAATTCTTTATTTTAAATAAAAGTATTTTAAACCAAATTATCTAATTTACTGAATGGATACTTATGGAATATTTATTTCCTTGAATAAGTCTTGTTAGATACTTATTTAAATTGTAATAAAGTATAGTTTTATTGAATTATTTACACTTATATAATTATCTTCTATTGATTATCCTTGTTTTAATACTTCAATTGGAACTTTTTCAACGTTTATTAAAAGATGAAAAAGAATTGGTTTTCATCGAATTCCTAGAGTCTTTTTCTTATCTATTTATTGATAATGAGACTAAAATTTCTCTCTTTTTAAAAAAAGGAAAACACATTCTCCTTGAAACAAAATTATTATCAATGCTGTATTAATTTACAGTAGTAATTTTATATCTGATAGTTTTGTACCGATGTTTATTTATCAGGTCTATTATGATAGGAAAGAATGTGTACAAAGTCAATCGTAAACAACATAAAATCTGATATAAATATGTGTCGGTAAAAGGTTGTTACACTCTATTACATCATTACAGCGACATTAACATTGGGGATACGATAGAATCAATTGATATATTGTTATCTTTTGAAATTTTATCTAGGTAGTTCTGAACCAACAATAATGAAAGATGGCATCAATGGAAGAAAACTACATCTTGAAGTCACTGTAGATCCAATTTATAAAGCTGATGAATTATGCGTTCGTATGGATTCTAATCGTATAGTTATAACTGGTTGTCAAAAGAAAACTGAAGCAAAATCAACTTCCACTGCCGAATTCACTCAGTCATTTGAAGTTCCTGAAACAGTAGATCCATTTTCAGTTACTGCTCAATTGATTGGAACAACACTTGTCGTTGAAGCGCCATTATTATGCACAGTTTAGGTTGGGTAGGAAAAAAACTCAATTCATCATGAACGTTTTGTGTGTGCGGAGAAGGGGTGGAGAGAGAGAGAGAAAGGGAATGAATAACGTGTTCTTTATAAATAAAATGTTTTTTGTTAGTGATACCTTAATGTGTTACACCACATAACCAACATGTAGTTATTTTGTAGGGGAATGGGAATGACTAATTCTTTAATGTTTTATTTGCTTTTATTCAAATATTATTGCTGCATCACTTTGCTATTACAATTAATGATTTTCTACATCTAATCAATAATGACTGTCAATCATGAGATTGACGTGCTTTTTTTCTCAAAGAAAAATTTGTCTAGTGTTTTCCATTCTAAAAATGATCCAAAACTGTTTTATTTATCAGTTAACTTTTTCTCCAACCCTTTTTATATCTTTATTTTTATCTCCAGTGTATGCGTTATATCTTCACTGTTTCTTTTTTGCTACTTTTCCAAAGATGAGATGAGAAGGTAGTTATGTTGTTTATCTTATTGTTGTGAAATTTATTTATTTATCTATACATAATTAACATTTTCGCATGCAATCATTCATTCTTCAATGGTTACATTATTTTACTATGTAAAACGGGAATTTTGTGCTTATCATATCATTTTTCTGCGAATGTTTGAGGGAGATATGCATACACTCAAGTTGTTTTTCCAAAAAAAAGTACTGGTGATTAATACAAGGAAGATGGAGGTGACTATGTGCACTATCACTAATATGACTATACCAACATTTTTTATCATCACTACGACAACACTCATTAATAATGTTCATTTGGTTAGCCTATTCATAATGCTTAATTTCAACAAATAAACACTTTAAAAGATTGAATTTATTCTTGTTTTGCTTTACTGTAATGTAAATCCAAATGGTTTGTATTGATATTGTCAGGAGTAGTCATTTAAAACAGATTGTATATGATTCGGGGTTTTTTTGTAATGTTCTTGAACAGGATAATCAATTTGAACAGTAATTTCAGTTATTTTCCCGACATCAGAATAAAATCTATTAAGATATTTTCACATCATTGAGTTATGTCTCAATGATATCATGAATTTTAATTTTAATCGATTTATGACGTAACCCTGTTACCTACATATCATGTCATCCTGATAGAACAGTGGGAAGAGAGTTGATCTGAAAAAAATGTGATGTATTTTAGCTATACATTTCAAACAATCAGGTCACACAAATATTTATCAAGGCATTTTACATAAATAATTGATAAAGATCAATTAAATAAAAGCTTAGGTAAACGAAGTTATAATTATAACAAAGTAATCCAGTATTCGTGTTTCGTCCCATCTGGGACCCGTCAGCTGGAGTAGATGTTCACTCGGGAACTCCAACCCAGTATCGTTCACTCCAAACGCCATCGCGTTTTCAACAGGATGCACATATGCTAATAAGTGACTGGTTAATTACAGGCCTAAACATTAGTGAGAAAATTCGATGAAACAAAAAGAGTTATAATTCTTATTAAAGAGGGGAGGGAATTAATATCGTATAGAAACAATAGGGAACTGTCAGTGTCACGTCATTTTCGGTCAGTTACTGTTATATTATCATAGTTTTATTCAGGAATTTCAGTCAGGCTGTAATTCGAGGGTACAAATATGACAAATATTTTATTCCAGTTAAAAATAAGAATAGAATTAGTTACACACACTGACACAAGATAATTGTATCCTATCCCTACGAATATGTGGGCACACTTACCATAAATACACAAACCGTGTTCGCGTGCGAAATAGAGGTATTGATATCGAGATTTACATGTACATGTTTACCTAAACAATTTAACAGAAAAGACAGTAGTCTAGTTAATTGATTGGGAAATGTAAAACATGAAGGACGGCCGAAATATCACATTCATTGTATTATAAATGAAATTTCACAATAAATATTTCTAGCAAAAGAACTGAAAAGGGTAAATATGTTTCGCTATTTTTAGAATTAGTTTTGACATGTCACATTTGATCGAAATTCTATTCGCATAATCGCACATCTATGTGTGTATATTATTTGTAGGAAGACAAGAGCACTCTGACTAAATAGATAAATACAACACTACATAAAAGAAATGTTAAGATGCTATTATTCGTAATAGTTGGAAGATTGTGTCCTTCCTCTTATATCTATGGGCAAACAAGTGAATGTGCTTTCTTATTATCATATTTATATCTTTACTCTTCATGCAAACGTGGTTTGTGTATTTATGATAAATGCGTTCCCACACCCATAGGGATAGGATACAATTGTCTTGTGTCGGTGTGTGTATAGTATTGTAACTAATTCTAATCTTATTTCCAACTGGAATAAAATATTTGTCAAATTTGTACCCTCGAATTACAACCTGACTTAAATTCTTGAATAAAACTATGATAATATAACAGTAACTAACTGACAATAACATAATATGTGGCTGATAGTGTTATGTCACAAATTGATTAAAGTTGAAAGTTGTGATGCCATTGAGATATCTTAGTCGATGTGAGATCCAAATATGTTGGGTTTAATCGTGTGTGTGTGTGTTTATGTGTGCTAAAAGATATACACTATTTGGAAGTCTCAAACTATGATGTAAGAGTTACTGTTCAGAGTTCACTGTTTTTCTATGATTTTTAAACTTACCTTTGTTCATTTGTTAGATGTGTAGCTGGTGGGCATGATAGTTGTTTGGTTTAAGAAGTAACACTCACTCAGTTCTGAATATTAAGTTCTCCATTTTCCTTGACAGATATCTGTTTATAATAGAAAGTGAACTTAAATGGTTTTTGCTTGATCGATATGTATGTCATCGTACAACGCAATCACGCTATTGGGTCAGTCGATAAACGTTAACTAGGAGAATAAAGAACATACTCTAGATGAGAGAAATGTCAAAAAGATCTTAAAATATGTATTGGATAGGAATTTTGATGAATAAGTCACATCAATAACGGTTATATTACCATCAAATTAAACGTTAGTCAAAACTGTTTATACAGATCTCAAATAAAATTATTATTTGTTATCAATGAGTAATATTTTGATAGAGTATTTGAAAGACAATTGGTGTCGAATTAATAGTTTTGTATTTGAACATTTGAATAGTTCTATTCAGTTAACTTTACAATAATTCTATTTCAAAGAAAACTTACATTCGAAAGTATGATACAGGTACTTTACTTTTTACGTTAAATAATCCATTCAATTTATTTTTTAGCTGGCTTTTTTAAAATTGCGATGATGTGTAAGATTGTATCTCTGGTGGAAGATTGTAGAAATGACTTATTTTCTGGGCTGGATTATTTAATTGTGAAGCTTTCATTGTCTTTCTAAACAACATCATCAGGATATATTTCGAAAAGAAGAGGGCTATTAGGATTTTTCCACAGCTAATTAATCGATTGTTATATCAGCATAGAATTTGATTGGTTTTTGTTCATAAATATATTTTCATGGTTTGGACATTTATTTTGAATTTCTTCTCTTGTGGACTGGTTTTTTATTAACAGAACAAAGTGTTAGTCAAAATCTGATAGCTCATTTTATTTTGAGGTATATGATGACGATTCTGTGCATCCCGTCCAAGTACGTTTCTTGTTTAAATGTCTTCTTATGAACCTATTGGCTCTGTTCGTTAATAGAACGTCCGAAAAGGTTATCATAACTTCACTTTCTTCGTTTTCAGATGCAAACGTAATGGCTGGTTGTATTTTGATAAACTGCCTAAGAACCTCATATTGTAATGTACTGTCTTTATAGAGGATGAACATTTCATCCATATATCGACAGTAAAATGTAAATTGTTGAATTAACTGATGAAGGCATTAGTATAAATCATTCTTTGTCAATAGTTTATCTGGTTAGTTTGCTAAAATCATAGTCCTTCAAAACGCAAAAGCAAATGTCATTTAGACTAAAAGCCGGAACTATGTATAAAAATGAAAAAAATATATGCAATCCATTCTTTAATCTTGGCCCACCTTAAGGCCAATTAATCTTAATTATAGAATGACCTGATTTGACTAATGTACATACAACTTTTCTTAGTCAAATTTAATTGTTTTTGCTATCTTAATTCACATGTTTATGTATTATTCTGATCAGTAATTTCACAACTTCATATAAACTTCACTTTTTTTGAAGTGCAAATTTCTCTGTCATTTGATGAATTTAGATAATGTAATAAGAAGACGAATATTATCAGAACTATGTGATATATTGGCGCAATACATTTCGAACAATCTAATCACACATATACTTGTTAAGAACAATTATATATGAAACTGTAAAAGAGCGTATACTATGATTTATTGAAGCCTTAGTCATACGAAAATTCAAACCCCCTTGGTGTATTCAAAAACAGTTTGTTCTCACTTTAAACCTACCCTGGTAATATTGACTTATTATCCAGAGTGATTAGGTTTCAAATTGTGTTCACATTATTATTATTATTATTATTATTATTATTATTATTATCATCACTCTTATTATTATCTTTGTCTCCTCTTACCCTCCATTTCTAGTCTAGTTGACCTGTTATTTTTATATATAAATGTTCTTAACAAGTATATGTGTGATCAGATTGTTCGAAATGTATTGCGCCAATATATCACATAGTTTTGATAATAATCGTCTTCTTATTACATTATCGAAATTCCTCTGTCATTGTTTTATCATTCTTTATATTCATTCCATTTATTAGTCCATAATTTTTTCATAACAAATCACATTATTTCGGCTTTTATTAAATCATCTTTCTAATTTATAAATAACACAATTTTGTGTCGTAACAGAGGCAAACATTCACATATTTTTTCAACATATAACATTGTCAAATTCATTCATACATACTGTATTTTGACCTTTGTAAAGTATTGGACTAGTGATAGACTTATAATTGTAGAGCCTAATGATGAAATGATTACAAAAGCAATCGTTTGCTCAAAAAATTCTTTGTTTTTTTGAATATTCTAGGGAGATCTTTAAACTACTGAGATTAAGATATTTGGAAATTTCCATCTATTAACAAAATGGAAATCTATTTAAAAAAAAAAGAAATTTCGTCTTATAAACATAATTAATTTGTTATCAGAATGGGTTTTGTGGAGATTTTTAGAAAATTCACTGGTTGAAATCATGAGTCAATTGAAGCTAGACCACCATGGAAAACCTGGAAGCACCGGTTCTAATTATTATTATGTGGATTATTTACGTAACATTTCTTTTGGACAACAAAACACGGTTAACTTTTATTTGTCTTAAATATTATGATTACAATGATGAAATATGATTGTATCATCAGTCGAAGTATTTTGCTAATCGTAAATTCGAGTTTATAGAGTCTATGAATAGTAATATCAGAGAAATGGATGTATTTGTTTCACTGACGTTACTCCACTGTCTTGTGTATAAGACCTTTAGGTCAAAGGCTCAGGGTGTGTGTCCCTAAGAAAAACACCAGCCTCGGTTTGGGCAACCGGTCAGTATCCCGGCACTCACACAAATAGAACGATTTATGTGGCGTATATCTATTTGGTGCCTCCTTATACCAATGTTTATATGTTTAAATAAATAATTAATTTCACTGATAAGGTGAATAAATTGTTTATTAAGATTGGATGTGATTAATAAAACTTCTATTTACTTTATCATTTAAAACATGAACTTAGACAAAGGGACAAACGTTTTGCTAAGCTATTAATATAAAAAAATTTTGAAGGTTCCAAGGTAAATCAATAAGCTTAAAGTATAATATTTGAAAGCAATGGAATAAGTTTATCAAAAAGAAAAGAACTGAGATTATATGATAAACAACAAAATAAACATACTAAGAATTTAGTAATTACAAATGATGATATGTGTTTAATTATGAATTACTATGTCAAGAATTCATATTTTATATAAAAGTAACCCTATGACATTACTTGAAATTTGAGATTCTGTATAATTTAGTTCTCAACTTTAAAATGAATACATCTAGAACGACTAACATTTTAAGGTGTGAGTTCACTTCATTCCGTTTGCTTAAATTTCTACAAATTAAATGTTATACAATATGATTTTGAGTGAAACATACATAACACAACTCTGTTTACTGTTAAAATGTGGTCGTAAGTGCTTTGTCTTATCATCTAGATCGAAATGATACAGTAACAGAAAACGTGATTTCGATCATGATGTAATCAATCACGAGGAACATATATAAAATGTTACTAGTTTGGTGGACAAACTATAAAAGTGTTGATAGAAATTATGGAAGCAATAGTGATATAATCATAATTAATGGTAACAATAGTATTGATAATAATGACAATTCAATTCGAGACGTTAATACTTAATTTCAAATTATTTTCTGAATAATGACACTAGTAATAAGGTCAATTATAGTAATATTTGTAAAGATTTATTTCTTCCGATTGCTGATATTTGCGACTATTTTACCAATCTCTGTCGGTACATTTATATGAGCATGTGATTACTTTGATATTTCCTGAACACGTAAGTTAGAGTATATTTTTTGTGTTAAGGCTAGGAGTATGATATAGAACACAAGTTTTATCTAATTTAAGACTTCTTAGTTAAATCTACCTGCATCCCAATATTGATCTCAACATTGAGATTCAAACTCAGTAATTGTTGCTTCAGAAGACAATGAGTTATTCACCAAACTGCTGACTTACAATAACCACTAACTTATTCAAATGTATAGATTATTATTGTTAAAGGTTTCATTCTCTTTGTTTAATGATATTCAGAACTACATTTACTTACTTACTTACTTACTTATGCCTGTTACTCCTCGTGAAGGAGCGTAGGCCGCTCACCAGCATTCTCCATCCAACCCTGTCCTGCGAAATCCTTTCTAGATCTTTCCAGTTTTTATTCATCCTTTCTATATCTACTTCTATTTCCCGACGTAATGTGTTCTTTGGCCTCTCTCTTTTCCATCTCTTTTCAGGATTGCAAGTAAGGGCGTGCTTCGTGATGCAGTTTGGTGATTTGCGTAATGTATGTCCTATCCATTTCCATCGTCTTTTCCTAATTTCTTCTTCAGCTGAAAGCTGATTTGTTCTCTCCCACAAGAGGCTGTTGTTGATGGTATCCGACCAATGGATGTTGAGTGTCTTGCGTAGACAACTATTTACAAATACTTTGTACCTTCTTGATGATAGTTGTAGTAGTTCTTCAACTTTCAGCTCTGTACAGTTGAACCACCTTGACGTTGGGTGAACTACATTTAGTCATTTAAAGAAAAAATTATAAAATGATAAATTTCCGCTTTGATAAAATAAACAATTATGTTATTCTATTTAAATGAAACGTGATGAAAAAGTTTAAAACATTTGTAAACATTATAAATCAAAAAAAAAAAAAAAATAAACAAGAGTTAAGAAGGGAAAAAAACTAAAAACTATAGTAAGTAATACATTCACTTATTAGTACCATCAATATACTATATCTATATATACAAATTATAAGGGATTTGCTAACACAATTGTATTGATTAGACTATACTTAATCGATTCAAAAACATTTGAAATATATATATATATCATATTTAAATACAGTAGTCTCTATGTACACAAAATGCGTAAAATCATTTATTACTACTTATTATACTACTTAAATTTATTTAATTCAATAAATATTTCAAATTCAAATATGTTGTTATCAAAATTAAATTTATTAACATTAGATCGTTCAATCAATAAAATCAATATATTATTTTCATATTTTATTCCATTTAATGATATGATTCATATAAAATCACGTAGACAATATTATGGTATTATAGAAACGAATTTAATAAAAAATTTACATCATTTATATATTAATCATGAAATTTATATTAATTTAACTAATATTATAGATTATTATTATTATTATAATGATAATTATTATAAATTATCAAAGTTAATATTGAATAGATCTATAACAATGAATGATTTAATACAATTTAATGAAAGAACATTTCTTGATGTATTCAAATTAATTATCAATGAAAATACAATAAACCATATCGATTATTTATATTCTATTCATAGAATTACTAATATAAATTTGAATGATAATAGAAATTTTATTAAAAAAGTTTATATGAAATCATTAATACCAAAAAGATATATACCTGATCAATCATGGTATATTTTATTAATGCAGTCATGGAGATTATATTTTTTATTCATAATTCATAGTTCTAATTTATGGTTACATTATAAACCACAAATTATAATATATCAAAATGATTTACCTAAAACAATTGATGAATGGAGTGTTATATTTATATATTTATTATGTTCAATTTATCATTCTAAACAATTGAATAAAGATTATCAATTACCATATGGTTTTTGTCCAAATCCATGTTTAATTAATCCATGTCTTGAAGTGGTTAATACAATGTCAAGTAAATGTATAAAAACTGGATATTTTGAAAATAGTTATAAATGTGAATGTCGTAATGGTTATCAATGGAAACAAGTTAAAGGATATAAAGGTAATAACAAAATATTTCATACACATAGTTCCCTTTATTATCTTAAATAGAGCAAGAACAAAGATTGGTGCAGAATAATATGAATTCATTTTATTTCGTTAGGTTCTCATCAGCTGCTTACATCCTAAATTATTTGAAATTCAACATTATTACAGATATTGACATATTTATACATAAGAGTGTGAATAAGGATCAATATATGTGTATGATGATGTAGAAAATATTCAGATAGAGTTAATGAGCTCATAAAATGTTTGATTCGAATAAATAAATAAAGTTGGAGAGGGAAAGTTCTGGAACATTGAAATAGTGATTAGAACTCATGAAAATAGATTAATAGTAATAAAGAAAATATGAATTAAAATCAATCATTTATGTATGATGTAATTTAAACTTCAGAAAGAGTTGGAAGATGGGGAATGACGTAATAAATAAATAAATAGGAGCAAATGAATAGAAAGGGTAGGGATTATTGTTACCAAGGTAAAGAAAGATTTATTACTGTCTCTTTTTGTATACATAGATCTGGTTTTAAACGTTTGATTGCTATCGCTTCAGCGAATTTCAAAAGGTTAGAGTTTGATTGTTTGTTGATCACCTTGAAGGACTTCAGTATATCAACTTCATGTCCTGTATCAAGGAGATGTCTTGCGATAGCACTGCTGAATGCGTTTAATCCATTTAACCGTAAACTTTTCGGAATATGTTCTTTGAATCGGACGTAGGCTCTCCTTTCTGTTCTACCAATGTAACTGCTTTGGCAGGTACATGTAAATTTGTATACACAATTGGTGGTAACATGAAAGGGATACCTGTCGACCTTTGATTGTGTCAAAGAACATGTTGTTTTAGACAGGACAGTCAATTTTGCTGCAGGATAAGTTCTCGTCAGTGCAGTTTTTAGTCTCATATTGATTAATCCTGTGATGTCGTCACCTTTGAATTGAAGTTGAATAAAAATAGGCTTTTTATTTGCTGTAATTTCTTTCGGTTTTTTATCTTCACATTTGCCGTATTTTTCAATAAATTTCAGTGGGTATCCATTATTCTTTAAACATTTTTTAATATTCTTCTAGTGTATCGGAAGTACAAATTCTTTCTGTTCTGTGAAACAGTGTTTTGACCAGTGCTTTTTTGTAACTGATTGGACAAAAGCTATTGAAATTAAGATAACTACCATTCCATGTGTCTTTCTTATAAACTGAACGTTGAATCGTACCATCTTTTCTTCTTTTCATCGCGATATCGAGAAAATGGAACTTGTTTTCTTTTTCATGTTCCATAGTGAAATGGATATTCGGATGTGCTTTGTTGAAAAACTCTAGCAGATTTATTGCATGTTGTTTATTATTACATACGATGAAGGTATCATCAACATACCTCGAATAATACGTCATTTCATCAATCGCTCGTTTGAGTTTGGTTTTTTCGAGGTTAGCCATGAAAATATCTGCTAGGACAGGACCTAACGGACTTCCCATCGCTACACCGTCGGTTTGTTTGTATTTGATATCGTTGAACTGGAACTGAACATCTTTTGTACAAATGAGTAATAGTCGTTTGAATTCTGGTACTGGTAGAGGTAGGATGTCAGAATGTTGACAAATTATGTATAGTACAATAACAGTATCGATTGATCTTTGATATTTGACCGGGTTTCTACATGCATTCATTAGTATTGTAATTGTTTATTGTATAACTATGGTATAAATCGATATTTGTAATTTAAGATATTTCACAACGAAGTAAGTTCTTTTATCTTAATTCACATCAAGTGGGATTGGAAATAAAAGAATGGTCGATTAGTTTCGGTCTCTTTTTATAGGTTTTTTTTAATTTGTACACGAGTGTCAGTCAGTCCTATGTAGCAAAGAAGCTGGCAAATATGTGCATCATTTCAAGTCTCCACATCACATAAGGAATGGTGACGATAAGTCCCAGAGAAGTAGAAGTACTAATAGTATCAATGGTAGTAAAAGAAATTAGCTGCAGGAGGTATGATTTGAGGAGAAAATATGAATTCATGGAGTAGAAATGAATTATGAGATCAATCAGGATCTTAAGCATTAGAGGAAGGTAAAGAGTGAATAAATCTGAACCATTCCAAAAAATTCTTAGTCATTTCACCCAAATTCTTTGACTAATAGCCAGAAAAATGGTACAGACCCCAGCCAAACCGTCTGTACCTACTTAGACTGGTGCTGCGGTTTGGTTTGATTGCCTTTTACTCTATTCTAACCTACTCCTACACCAGCAAACATAGGCCAACCAGGTAGCTGAAGGATGGGTACGCGTAATACATGTCCCAACCACATCGATCGATGAACATGTATTACCTCATAAACTGACTTTTTCAAACTTATTTAATGCCTTTTCCGAATCTCAGCATTGCCTACTGGGTGATCCCAAAATACACGAGCAATGTTTTGAAGATATCTGTGATCAAATACTGGTAACCTACGAACATCCTTTGTTCATAATGACCACGTTTCACAGCCATAAAGTTGAATGGAATGAGCTACTACACAGCATACTCGTCCTTTCGTTGGTAGCCAGATACCTTATCTACATCACAAGTGGTGAAACTTGGCTAAGGTTGACTGATCTTTCTGAATCTGTGCCGAGATTTAGCCAGACACCAACTCATCAGGGTTGATGGAACCTTTATGACAAGCGAAGTAGTTGATGCACTCAGTTACATCACTTCCAATCATTATTTCTTAAAAATTCAAACAAACCAAATGGAGTAATAATGGCTGTTTTTTCTATATCCTCGGATGCTACTGGGATCTGATGGATGACATTTAATAACTGAGTATTTGTGCCTAAATTATAATAATTTTTTATAAGTTCTCCAAATCGGCAGGTAGTGTTTCTATAAAACTTCGTTATAATGGGAATATTTAATTTTCTCGGTACACTTTCATTATATGATTGTAAGTAGCTGGCTGATGTGCTTAGTTTCGAGCTCAGAAATCAGAAGTCATAAACTCATTCAAGAGAGGAATGATTAATCTATTTCTTTGATTTGCATTTGTATGTTAGTGAATCAATGTATATTAGAAATTAATACCCGGTTAACAAGCTTTTATACTTAGCTGATGCCTAAGGATTAGTGATTTACTCATACAGAGTACCAGCTTTTGAAACTACAGAGAAATTCCATTGTAAGGATTACTTCATCATTTCTTAGGTAATAATCCATTAGGTTTATATATTTATGTAAATTATATAAACTATTATTGAAACTCACGCTTATAATAAGTCCTTCCCCTTATGAATACAACCTCTACTTAGATTATAACACATCCTTCATATACATGTAAATTACTTGTTAAGCAGTCCATTGAAAATATTGATTTGATAGGAAGATTAAAGAGTAAAATGTAGACCAGTGGATACCATCTCAGTGGTTTGAAGGTTAAGCACTTGCCATGGAGCCTTAAATTGCTGAATTCGACTCTTGAGGATCGGAGGGTCGTGGATGAGCACTTCCACGATAAACGATCTCTTTATTCCTTCCTTAATTTTAATGGTTATCTGACTAAAGTCAGTTATTAATGTAAAACTATGAAATTCGTTAATCTTCACAACCTTTTTTGTCAATAAGATGTAAACTTTCATCTTTGGTTGAGTTAACTTTCTATTTAATCATAGATTTTCTTGTCAAATATATACTTAATGAAAAACATTTTTATTAGATGTAACTAACTTTTCTCATACGCTTTCAAAGAGGAAATAAGTATAAATTTAATATTCTTATGATCTTATCAAGAAAATATTTGCTGATATCTTTTAATATCTTACAGGTAGAAATATCTGACGTACCTTAATTTTATTTGAGAGTTAAAAGTATTTCCAACAGTTGAGATCATGAGTTAATTGAATCTAGACCACTATGGAAAACTTGAAAGCACTGAACGGCCGTTTCGTCTTATTGTGGAACTCCTCAGCAGTGCGCATCCACAACCCTGCCTCGCGGAATTCGAACTCAGGACCTATCAGTCTCGCGCCTGGCTTCAAGAGGCATATCCTGGAGTTCTAGTGAGTAGTAGTGACCAGTGGAGTTCAACCGGGTCAGTTGTGAGATAGTAACTCACTGATGACAATGGTGGATGTGTCGCTCAGTTTTGTGGATTAGTTGAAGTTAGACATTAACACCGTTGGATGTCGGATGGCTCAGTGGTCTAGTTGGTTAAGCACCTGTCACGAGACTGATAGGTCCTGGGTTTGAATCCCGCGAGACGGAGTTGTGGGTGCGCATCACTGAGGAGCCCCGAAATAGGACGAAACGACCATCCAGTACTTCTACGTTGCAAACTGTGGTCTAGCTTTAATTGATTCATGATCTCAACTGTTGAAATTACTACAATCTCCACAAAACCCGTTCTGATACAAGTTAAAAGTATGTCGACTAACATTTTTTATTGTTGAAATATTAGTGTCATACTCGTCAAAGCTGAACTAAAACATATACTTAAAATAAAACAAAAAAATGGAATATTGTTTAATAATTAGTTCTCCTTACAATATCAACAAGATATGATATTTTGGTAAGAATGTTCTTTTAAAAAAAAGTTGAAAGTCTTATCTAAGTTATTTTATTAGCACAGTATGTCAGATTTCTAATCCGCTGAAATATTTCATTTTTATAATTAGAAAAACCTTTTTTTTTAGTTATAAATATTTTTCTAGAAAGTAATTTAGGTCTGTGGAATTTGTATATCAAGGACCATTTATATACACTCCTTGTTTTTTTGAATATAAACTACAAAACAAAAGAGAACAACCAACCATGTTTCATAAAATAAATGATGTATTTTATAAATATGTAAATATATATAATAAAATGCTTGTAATAAATACACTACACTTTAGACTGATTGGTTACATTCAAACTTATGAGAGTGAAGCTACTGAAACATAGGAGGAATGTAATTTACAGTATTATTGAGAAGTGGGGAATAAGATAAATGTCTATGAATTTGTAACACATCTACCTCTTAATGTTCAATATGTGTGTAATATCCAGAATTTTTTTCGTTCATTTACTCAATGGACACAATTTATAAGAAATTAGTTTTTCAGTGCTAATTTCATTTCAATCTCTAACTTCCATTTGATTTGTTGTTTTTTAGACATTCAAGTCTCTTTATTCGTGGTAAAATGTCAATCCTGTGGTTGATATTTTCATCCTTCAGATATTTTAAACATAAAACGTGACCATTATCTAATTTTATTGTCTTGTACCTGATATTGTTGCTTTGCATCAAAATTTCGAATGATTCATTTTATAGCTAATTATGAATAAGCACTGGTTACTATCAGGATGAGTGATTTGCGAAAATTACTTGACTTGAGGCATATTTTCCAAAATGGACTTATAAATTCTGTGTTCATCAATATTTCTGCACTCCTTCTGCTGTGTGGAAACATGAAATAATAAACTCTGTTTGGACAAGTTAGAAAACTTTTTTTTCATTTATATAACTGTTTCAAAAGGTAGGTTACTGATATTTCTTGGCAGCAAGAACAACGATTTCAGTAGAATATCATGACTTCGTGTTGTTCAGATCAAATCTCTGTATTTATTCTCTTCAAGAAATTTTTCATTAATTTTTCTTTTAATCCTTAATACTATTAATTTTGAATTAATTGATCCAATATCTAAGTCAAGTGTTTTTTCGTAAATCTTATAAGCTAAGCGATTAAACATAGTTTTTCATATATTTAGGGTATTGCGAAGCGATCGATCTATGTGACAAATATTGTAACAAAGTTGGAACCAGGAAATGTGATATTGTGCAAGACAGATATTTCTGTGTTTGTCGCGTAAGTTACTGCTATTATTAATTGAATACATAAACATTAGTATAAATGGACACTGAAATATAAATGCGCCACATAATAAAAATGAGATTGTGAAGTGATAGAGAAAGGATAGTGAGTATAATTTAAAAAAAGGAACAAAAATGAACGGAAATAAGTGTATGGGAGTGGAATAATAGTAAAATGATAATGGTGATAAGTGGAGAAGCAGTTCAATTAAAAATACAACCAGAAAAGATTCTTTTAGTTAAAGAAGTTACTCTCACTTGTATGAAGAAAGAAAAAGAAAAGTACAGCACGATCTCCACTGGCTTCTATCCCGAGCCATATCTGAAATCTAAGTCATCTATTTCTAAAGAAAACTCCCTGCTATTTAAAGGTTATTAGAGTTGTTAAAACGTTAAAGTGAAATTGAGACAATGTATTCATATGTAATGTATATTTAATATAATAGCAAAATGATTACACTGTAGTTTTATAGGCAGTTACATTTTTCGTAAATTTGTTTGTTTGTATCATATGAAGCTTCTCTTTAATGTTGATGATGATTACTACACAATAGAGGATTATATTAACTTTTCATTTTAATGCTTGAAAAGAAAGAAGTGAACATTTATAACTCTCCAAAATCGTAAGTGTTTGAGAGAATGCAACTGTGATATCGAATAGTTAAAAGTAATTATCAGAAAGCCCTATAAAAATACGTTCCCTGTTAAATGAAATTCTTCACCAAGGCTTTTTCGTGAGTCTCAATATATTTGCTCGTGAATATTATGGCAGATTACAAAGTTATTTCTCGGTGAACAAGATATACAATACTATTTTGATGGTTAGATCGTTTCACAATTTCCTATTAACGATCAAAATTATATCAAATTTATGTACGGCACTTTGACCTACTTATATAAGCATTCAGTAGTTCATTTTATTTTTAAAAATTGTATTTTGTGATCAGATTCTCGTATTTGTTTGTTGTGAACAACACAGGAAATAATAACCAAATTCTGATCATTATGATTTATTGTGAGATATCCACTATAAATTATGTGTATTAAAAGAAACACATGAAATTAAAGCTTGTGAATGATAAAATTAGCTGTAGAAATCATACTTTAAAAATTATCTTGTAGAGGTGCTCGGTATTCGTAGAAAAGATAAAAAGCATACATATTTAAATAAATCGCTTTATACACAAAATATGAAAACATTTTTTAAAAATTATTTAAGATTTGAATAGTCAAATTTTGGAACAAATAGATAAGAGTACACTATGTGTGAATGATTAGTGTTATCCCATCTAATCAATCATTTACTTTTAGGCCTCCACTAATAACTATGATGAATCGATAACTGAACACTATATGTTGTAAAATTTTATGCATTAATCTCTAGCTGAAAATGATGCCTAAAAACAGGACACTTTAATTTTTATTTTAGTGGACATAAATTTAAAGTTTATTTTTCGTGTGATTGAGATTTGTTGACAATATTTTTGTTGAAAAACAACAAATTAATTTATCGTCTAAGAAAGGTCGACATTGATTATATTGATAGAAACTAGGATATATATATATATATATATATATATATATATATATATATATATATATATATATATATATATATATATATATATATATTAGTCAGTAGTTTGGTAACTGTCCCCTAATCCAAAATCAAGCATAAATTAAAATGAATTCTTTTTATAATTTACATTTCCGTACAGTCCATTATATTTTGACTTTGTTTACTTAGGGATTTTAAATGATCAGTAGTACGGGAAATAGATTTTCTCACATTTCTATTCATTGCAATAATAAAAAGGAATGGGATATGCAGTTAGTTTGAACATTAAGTTATATCGTAAAATAAAATAGGAGAGAATCACGTTTTATACAAAAGTACATTAGTAAATATGATTACATTAAGGAACCACAACTAAATCACATGAGTAGAACCTTTCGTACTAATTATCTATTCTTTAGAGCCTACAAATATATTAACTTGGATAATATGATAAAATGTGATGTAAATTCAGAATTTTTTTCACAAATTAACATCATGCGAAACACTCATGGAATATGTAAACTACTGAATATCTATTTCATCCCCTGTTTAGAGAGCACTTAATGTAGTATTTGGGATTGAAGAAACGATGTCTAAAACTTATGGCCTCCATTTTACTTTTTCCAGCACTCATGTTCCAATTCAGCAATTTTCATTTTCAGATTTTATTCCAGCTCCATTATAAAGCAACTATTATGGATGATTATTTGCAGATATCCGTATAACTCCTGACCCATTTGATACTATTATTCTCTCTCTCTCTCGCTGAAAAATTCAGGTATTCATTCTGAAGAATTGTTACTAAACACTATACTCTTTATACATAGTTTCAGTATGAGTGAGCTTTAGGAGTACGAAAAAGCTGAAATTTCACAAACCTTGTCAGGTTTTTATGAATGAGTGAGTTTGTTCCGATCAAATAAACCTGTGTTGACAAGGTATCCAAGTAATTAGCTTCTTACAGATCTACTGATGCCTATTTTCAAACTTGCAAGATAATTTACTCAAACTCTCTTGGATAGCCCACCCATTTAACAACCGATATACCCAATTCTACAGCAGAAGGTGAACTAATCAATGTATACTGAAGCTCCTAGATGCGAAATCTAAGTTATTGTTAAGCTTAATTAAAATACAAAACATTGATCTCAAAGTTTATACGAAGAAAGTCCTCTTGAGGAGATCTGAACTTCTTTTCTTTAAGTTATCCTCAGTTATGTTGCTCTAGAAATCGAAGTTCAGGTAGTTTTCTCTTTGTCGTTGAGGTTGGTTTGAAACTTATATTCTTACCAATGAATTTTGGCGGATATTCACTTGCAGTCAGTATTTTTCTCAGGAGAGTTAACTCAACACTGATAGCATCACAGGGAAAAGTTCCTCAGATTCGTGTTATTTAAGATATAAAATCTTTCTCCCTCCGAACAGCTACTCAAGTATAGAAGCTTGGGATCTATTAACTACATGAAGGTATATAGATCTTAGGAGTCTATCAGGTTTGTCATTTTAACAACAAGGAAGATGGCGTTTAGTCTGTTATCCACTATTAGAGCACGTTTTACTGTAAGGTGGGCATTGTTGAAAATCTGCAGACTTTGATTCATATTGCACTTTTTATCATCCGTATAAAATTTATCATCTCCATTGTTTGCAATTAGTATTACGGTTGGTCTAATCATAAGCATAACATCTCCAATGATGTTGAATAGTGATAATAAATGAACTACTGAATTCATATTCACAATACCATATACATCGTCTCGTTAAAAACCTGATTTTTGATTCAGCATTTAACTTCTCATCAATTATTTTGTATTTGTATTCAAAAACTCATATCCTAGAATTTTAAAATGTTTTCTTTTCTAGCCTACTCATATGGGTTTAAACTGCGACTACCAACGTGATCCATGTGTGGAACTAGCTTCTAATGTTCATATGGGAGGAAATATGGCATGTAACGTTGCAAATGGTGGTATATGCAAAGGAACTTTAGGGACAAACACCTATCATTGCCAGTTAGTTCAATCAAATTCATGGGTTTTGATTTATTTATGTAAGGAACAGTTTTACTATTGACTGTTCCAGACAATTCAATGATGCGTAATCTAACTAAAAACTTACAGTTTTACAGAATACATAAAAAGACAACCAAAGTCAAATTGAAAGATTGTGGATATATGGCAAAGAATGTGATTTTACGACTGAGTGGACTAAAATTACTACTAAATTATGACGGTTTTTTTACAGCTATATTTGGTCATGAATTAAACAGTTTTGTAGTTCACAACACAGCGTAACATATTTTTGGCAAAAATGGTACATGTTACTTCCGGAACTGAATCCTTTAATGGGGATTCATGATCGTTGATAACCTTCTTGGTCCTAACGGATTTAAATATCTGAAGACTTTCAGTCAAATATTCTGTTCACTTCCCAGCACACTATTCTTATGACGTCTCTATGATCCTGTAGATAGCCAACCTAGTATCTTGATGTTCGTCTACGATTATATACACAGTTACTTCCGACCATCATTGTTTTTTTTCTTTGTTTATATTACAGGTACGATGTTTGGAAGAGCATGGTATCAGCAACGTTTAATCCTGCTGTACCAAGTTATTTACAAAATATGATTATATCACTTTTAGGATTATCAGTAGATGTATATGATTGATTTATTGCCATATGCACGAGGAAATATATATTAATGGACTTTTAAACAGTTAGTGCTACCGAATGAGATATTTCCATATGGAAACCAAAGTTTTTAGTAACATAATTTGTTATTCGAGCATCCCCGGTTTTTTATCATGATTTTTTTCTAATTTTTTAATTGAAGAATAAAATCAGATACCGCTACGACAGGAAAAAATGAAGTCATTGGTTGTATTATGACCTTGACCTCGATCCTTGATGAATCTCTTACTATATGTTGATTGATTTATAGCCATACTGAACGCTAAATTTCTGTCAAACTATTCGTTCTAATATCGATGAATATTCGTATAAGCTGTACTAATTTGTTTGAGTATTATGTACCTATGAGGCCACTCTAATTCTCAATTTCTGTATTCCGTCCGTGTTTATAATTTTAATAACCAATGGGTTGGGATTCAGTGGACAGTCCAATGAGTGGATTATCAGATCACCTTTAATTATCGATTCAGTTGTTTCTTGAAGTTAGTTTCTCTGATTCCACAGAAAGTTAGTTAGGTCTTGAAGCGATACCAGTTTCAGTGTTTATTCAAAGTCCCTTGACTAGTTGTTGATTATTTCATATAACTATTGTCATTGATTCGAAAAAAACTTACGTTTATGCATTAATCATAATGCAATAATCTTATCTATGTGCATCATTTTAAAACAGTATAGCCAGCTATAAGAAATGCAGAACCTGGCAGATTTGCACATCACCTCAAGTTCCTATAACACTAGATGAATAAACGTAGGGAAAAATGTCATAAAGTAACTCTAAAAGTTGACAGAGTCGATGTATCTGCGACATTATGGTTTGAAAAAAAACGTAAGTCATTGATAAAAAATTTCAGAAAAGCAAAAATTTCCATTTCGAGAAAGACAAATAGAGGGAACTATATCTTTCCAATTATTTTATCACTATAGCTCTATACTAATATATATTTAACTGTAACAGTAAAATATATACCACTCAGATGATGGTGCGTCATATAATATTAAAAAGTTCCTTGTTGAGTTAACTATGATGTCTGGGTAGAGTCGGTTTTTTCCAGGCTTAATTGTTTATGAACGATATTTTCGAAGTGAGTGTAAGTCAACATTATTAATACACCGTTCTTTAAAATACTCAGAACCTGAACAATCGCAATTGAGTACATTAAGTCGTTTCATACTACAATGAATTGCTTATATGATGGATTTATATTCATACACATTAAGTACTAAGTCATAACTGTTTTTCCAGGTGTCCAGGATCATTTACCAGTGATCCATCTTATCCTTTCCCAAATTGTTTACAAATTAAAGATCGATGTGCCAGTACAATATGCATTCATGGTGATTGTGTTAGTTCAAAAGATGGACAAGTAAGAAAATAAAAACGTTATTTATTATTCATGTATTATTTGCTTAATTATTTGGTTATTATGCTTAAAAGTAACATAGTTGGGTAGGCAAAATAATTCAACTGAACAGATTAAGCACGGATAATGAAGGCTCGGTTACCAATTTCCACAAAAATCGAAGTGATATATATATGGGTCAGTTAGCAACTGACACTCGTGATAATAAGTATCTTAGATAAAACTATTGTGTCACATAAATCTATATGGAAAACGGTATGCTACACTCGCTTGTTATTTAATAACATGTAGGTTTTTACCATCTGGAAGTTTGTAGTTTAGAAAATATTTGACAGATATTTTTGATGAAATGTTAAATTATTTTCCTCTCACGATACTTTGACTGCTCGTATTTAGATTACTAAACGAGCAGGTATAATGGAAAATAATTCTCCATTCATGTGGTTGGATACTTAAGATCAGTATTATGATCATAAACGATAATATAGATTAAAGGAAACCTTCAATGTTATAAACCTTACTCTCGGGTAATTCTACTATTCTCCTATGTATCAAAGAATATTCATTTTCAGAACGGGTTTTGTGGAGATTTTTAGCAATTTCACAGGTTGAAATCATGAGTCAATTATTATATATAGACATTAACACCATTGAATACCGGCCCAGTGGTCTAGTGGTTAAGTGCTTGAGCGCGAAGCCAGTAGGTCCTGGGTTCGAATTCTGCGGGATCGTGGACGCGCACTGCTGAGGAGTCCCATACTAGGACGAAACGGCCGTTCATTGCTCCTAGGTTTTCCATGGTGGTCTAGCTTCAATTGACTCATGATTTCAACATGTGGAATATTCATTTCTTATCACTTTTATCCTTCGAATAAGTGCACTGGTTAAAGAATAATAGGTTTCGATTGAATGTTTAGTATTCAGTTTTTGAATTTAAATTTTAAATAAAATGGGTCATTTGTTTTAGCCCATTTCAAACTACTTAAGTAGTTTCATCCCAGTCGTGTTCACTGACTTATTGAATACAATACTTTGGATTCATGTGTATGTGTTGGTATTGAGTTGTATTCATTGAACTGTATGCTTAAGTAACTGTAAATGTAAACGTATATCGATAATAAATAACAGACAAAACAGAACATTCGATTGTATTACATTTTGTCTTCTCAAAACCGGATCCGATAAATTAAGTATATAAATCAAAAAAGAATTAATCACAGTTACTTCAATAATTCTCTAAGTGATCTATAACATTTGTTAAAAAATGTTTAGAAAGTTTATTGGAGCTTCGACCGGGAATAACAGCGTGAAATTAGTCCATTTGTATAGGGAATTATTTGACATCTTCCGAAGCTTGATCACTATGGATACCAATTCCAATCGGCTGGAGATGACTTTACATGCTGTTCATCAATTTCAAAAAGGCAACTTCAAATAAATTCTATTTATGGTTGATTCTGGTTAATTTTTTGAGAATTATTGAATTTACTAACAATTTATCACAAGAAAATTTAGTTGACTTAAGTAAATGAAAATTACAAATATTTATTTTTTGTATTATTACTAAATTCCAGGAAAGTTATTGTATTTGTCCTGAAGGAACATATGGAAAATATTGTGAATTAACACGTGGACAATGGGGTCGATGGTCACCATGGTCTGAATGTTCACCAAATTGTGGACTTTATAATCACCGAAGGCGTATACGTACACGTGACTGTTTAGGTGAGGCATGTAGCGGTGGTTTAGGTTATTTACATATGGAATTCTGCGATACAAAACCTTGTTCAAATGAAATACTGATGTTAAATAGAATAAATTCATCACAAGAAATACAAAAATTGAAAATGTTACAAGTACAAGGAACACGTCATGTAGAAATATTAGGTGGGATTGCTAAATATCTATTATTAATAACTTGTATCTTTTCAGTAACTACAGTGACAGCTATGATAATAGTTGTATACTGTTTATAAAAAATTTTAATAATGACACAGATTACTTAACATGCATAATTTATGTTTAATATAAACTATTATTGTGTTTATTTTATTAAGAAATACTGAATGATGAAGAATATTTACCTCTGAGAACTGTAGATGATTGAGGTGGAGGAAAATTAGTCATATAAATAAACTGATAAATAAGTTTTTTATGAAGTAGATAATAATATCGGGACTGAAATGTTTGGAAAATATAAAGAACTAATGCATTTGTGCTAATATCAACGATTTCGAGCAACGTCATGTAAGCCTTCCCACAACGGGGTACAATAGTCATGCGAACGTTAACAGGGAAATCTACACATTTTGACATAAATTAGACGAATAATCAAAGATTTTATGAAAAAGTAGCGTCTCGGTTTGGCTGCATTTAGTCTCATCCTAACCTGCCTTCTATCGAGGGTGGCATTAATTATTTCTGAGACATCCTTGGTTGGCTTATTATATTAATACTCAAATAGGTTATTTTCAACGTCATAGGGAAGTTTCTGGTGATCTTCCCTACACATCCTCGTTTGGTATGTTTTAAATGGTTAGCGTATCGTCTCTATATCATACTTCCCTTTTTGACTTCATAAATAACATGTCCTCGCCTGACTGCAATAATCTCCTGTATCTATGTTGGGTTTGGACTATGCGTATCACATATCATCGTTGGTCGTCCAGTTGTGTATTTTCTAGGTAATGCTCCGCGCAATTTACCTTATCGATCCGCTAGTTTTCTGTTCAGCTTAGAAATAGTATTAAAGATCATCTCGAGATATTCTAATCTTTCTTCCAAACGTGACTTCTATTAAAGAAAATTATTAACTGGATGATTGGATATTGAAAGTTTAGTGAAAACGTTTGCAGTATTTCTTCGACTCTTCCTTCCCCAAGCACTTTGATAAGTGTTCGTTTAAATGTACCTACGAATTTTTTAACCTGACCATTTGATCGAGGATGTTTAAGGAGAGTTCTGACATGTTTATCTGTATTTAACAAATCAAGTTTGGAAAATTCTGATTATCAAAACCGAGGTTCACTTACCTCACATCAACACTTTAGGAAAGTCAAAGCAACTAAATATTTGCTGTAATTTATCGATCTTAAAGTTTGTTGAAATAGACTCGATACGAGTTTAAGGTCACTACGTAAATGCGCCAACGGCCACAGAAGAATGTTTGCTACTAACAGTACCGGAGAAGCCAACATTTATTCCAGGTCATAGATAAGCAAAAGTTTCCAAACAACAGGATTAAATTTTTCGTGGAGTTCTGACTGCGTTTGAATATGCAGAATATCTTATTACACAATCTTCAATCTGATGAGTATCGGCTTCACGTGATACTGCGGCTACATTGGAAGCGGATGGAGATTTAAACCATTTACTGAAAGTACTGTATTCTATGGCACATAACATGTATTCAGGCTCCTAATCCAACCAATACCAATGAGATCTAAATCATACCTATTTACTAAATAGTAAGTTCCTGTAAAATAACTTTCAATGAATTGATTTATTTATTTCAACACATAGATAATGGTACGAAGAGGCACCAAATACATATGCGCCACACAAATCTCATCCGATATGTGTGAGGGCTGTGATACTGCCCGGGTGCCCAAACCGAAGCAGGTGGTTTTCTTAGGGGGCCACACCCCTGTTCAATGAATTGAACAGCGCATTTAATCGTCACAACAAGTTTAGGTATATCACCAGGGTTTTAAAATGTACGGTCTGACAGTAATAAAGATAGGTAACGTATAAACTAACACATTTCTTCGCAATAAATATAAAGTCCACAGACACATTCAGTTGTGGTCGGTTATGAATGATTTTTGCTGGTAAAGTCACAAACCATTTTTTATCTGATATGTTGAGTAGAGATGTTGCATACATACTGAGTATGCAGCTTTTTCGACTGACGTAAAAAAATCTTTCGTGATCCTGGATTCAAATGATAACTTGTACGCCAAATTACTTCTTTATGAAAATGATCTACATCCGAACCCTGGTTTGACCGAAAATATCTTTTTCATGTAAAGTATATTGATACTGATGAAAGGAAACTGAAATTGTAGTTTTAATCTGTGTACACAGAGATCTGCCAAATGCTTCTTTTCAACGTTTATTCAGGATTAGTTGAATAGTGCTTAAAGCACTTGAATTTCGACTATTGGGTTATGCATTTAGATTATAATGCATCTACCTAGGTTTAGACAGCTAGATAGTATTGTAAAACACGACAGTAGGAATGTATGTTTATAGCAAGAAGTTACAGTCAGTCAGTCAGTATCAACGTAGAACTTCGTACGTACGTACATCAGTCCGAGTTGCCACACCACATTAGCACAGAGATGCAGTGGTTACAAAGTATTTACATAGTAGATATACATAGCCTCCAATCGTCCATTTGCATCTTCCAATGTGTTCTGCAATTTGAACTGTCTTCTCGACTGGCCAACACCGTGCTTTCAATATACTGAAACTCTCCACTCTGTCCGATAACCGTTGCAACTCCGACACCACGTTCCGCTACACACTACTTATAAACATCCTTATGAGCGGAGTTCACTACAGAACCAATAGCCATTACGTAGAGTGGCTCGAATATGAATAAATAACCCTGTACATGGTAAATCAGTCGCAATAAAATTCGATTTAAGCATATGCGTACTGACTGACGAACCAATGGATAATCATATTTTAAGTGGTTAATATCAAGAATTTTAAATTTTACAAAAAAACCTTATGAATTCGATAAATTTTAAGTTTTTATATTCACATTTGAATATTCTTTAGTAGGCGCTAAAGCTCATCGAAAACGATAACTGAAATCCTAATAAGAATATAATACAAAGATTTGCATTCCATATAAGATGAATATCATCTATATTCAAACGAGCAATTTCTAAATAACTATGTACCCCAAAAGTAATATGAATTAAAAATATGACATCAACGTATTTGAACAGCAGTCTGATCTTGTTCGAAAACATAATAATATAAAATTTAAGGAAGAAAATAGCGTTGAAAAAAACCTGAGGAAGTATCTCAGACTATAGTCGCTAAATGCCTTGAAGAAATTCATTTGATAGATGATTGTTCACAGTATTAACAATACCCACTAATTCTGTACAGAAAATAATATAAACAAGTTACAGTTTGCTTGATAAGTGTGGATTATAATTACAATTATCCTGAATATACATGTTCAAGATGATTATGTAGTAATCGCACTTCCGTTTTTCACACATTCTTTGAATTATCAACTCGATCATCTTCTCCGCATTCAACACGAACAAAGTCTTCAAGGACCATTTCATTCCGTGATAAATGTTCGCCCACACGTATAGTTTCATCTAATAGAAAGGGTTGTAGCAGGAGAGATTTCTCTTCTTCTGGATCGGCAGCTGGATTTTCAACAGGTTCTAATCCAGGATTTGGATTCATGCCAACAATATGCTGACAAACTTGTCTCCCCAAACGTGAAGCTCGTTCATACCATGGATCATTGGCAGGCTGACATAAAATAAAAAAACATAGTGAAAGGGTTAGAAGTGTTAATTATTCAGTATGGTAAGATATATATAGTGAAAAGAAACAGTCGATCATCTTTATAAATAATCTACTGAGTTACCAAGTTTTACAATAGGGGATGAAATGATTGATTAATTATTCAAGAAGCTGTATTACCTTTAACGTTATATCAGGTTTTGAGATAACTGCTTAGGTAAACGAAGTCCGTGTTTCTCGCCAAAATTTCACATACACTAATCAACATTCAGTGGCTTGTGCTGTATAAGTAATATGTATTATTTACTTATTTGAACACAGAAAATTGGTACAAGGGGGCACCAAATATATATGCGCCACAAAAAACAATGAGAATTCGAAGAGAAAAAAGAAGATAAGGAGCGTAAAAAAAGAACACTAACGAGCAGATTAGTGTAATGTAGTGTAATAATAACAATGGGGGAGACGGAAAAGTACAACCAGAAGGATTCTTTCAGTTAAGGAAGAAACAACCATTTTTATGAATAAAGTAAAAGGTTACAGTAGGATCGCCACTGGCTTATATTCTGAACCATATCTGATAACGTCTCTAACCGCTGTGTTGCACCATCTCTAGGACCCCAGCCAGGGAGTCGTGAAGGACCAACAGAAGCCAGCCCTTTACAGCTTTCATAAAACGACACCATGTCATATTTTAGACGTCAACATAATGATCATATTTATCAAGGAATCATATCAAGTACAATGTTGTTCGTTAGCTTCCTTATATTCTGAAATTAAAAACTAAGACCAAGTTATTTATGTTGCTTAGGATGTAAATTCCTGGTTGGATTTTTAAAGAAATGAAATTAATCAACTGCATTTTCGAAAGAACAATAAAGTGCTGATATTTGTATTTAATTTTCTACTGTTGTGGTGAGTTCTGATGAAAAATTAGGTAGTGTCTCCATAATTGTGTGAATAAAAATCAAAATAATAGACAGCTACATATAATTTTATCTAGAACAATGAAATTCATATCCAACATTTTTTAAAGAGCTTTGATTCCACATGGAAGAAAAATGTCGGAGAACAATAAGAAGCTTTACATATGACACAAAAAATAGTTAGGATCCTCACTATATAGTTTCCTGACAGATTGTACAGTTTTTGACTTAGAATAAGCCATTCCTTTCCTGGAAATATAAAAATATTTCACACTCAAAACGTATTTCTAAATCCGTTTTTGCAAGCGTAAAGTGATATAAGTAATGGGTTCTATCGAAAAATCTGACATTCAAGTTTTTATTAAATGAAAAAAGCTTGTAGTGTTTAGAATTAAGTTAGGATGATGATCATGTAAAAATTAACTAGTTCAGAAAGCATTCCAAAGTATGTAAAATATTAGTTGAAGTTTTATGCTTCAATATGGCTCACGATGATCACGAGCTGGGTCCCAAATAAAAACCAGACTTACTTTGTCATTCAATGGTCTATAGCGAATGATAGCAGCATACTTTCCAAAGCGGACATCTCGTATCCCTTGTAATATACTCTCTGAGCTCGTGTGTGAATAAATAGCCAGACAACTTGTGCTAGTGTTATCAGGGACACAAAGTCCGACAGCTCTTTTTAGTCGAATACTTTCACCAATAGATCCTATGGCTGAAACCGTAATATCTTTCAACGTAGAGGAGTTGGAGGTTACCAACTTATCCAACTGGTCGGAATCCAGTGATAATTTAGTAGGCTCCTTAAATAAAAGCAAAAACGAGGCAGTAAAGCAGATATGAACAAACGCTAAGTGTACATTTACTTCAATCTATGTACCTGGGTATTATTATTTATTGTGGTGATCTGGCATATTGAAGACAGAATTATCATTCTTTATTATATTATAGATAGTTTGAGGAATATAAAAGTATTATTTATTTGAAAGGCATTCGTAACGAGGAAAGTCAAAGAACATGAACAAGTTGAGAATTCAAGATTTATATATTATCGTGTATTTTAATATCCTAGACTTTCCATTGTTTAATTTCGAACCATTCAAAACATTGATCGGGTTTTGTGGGTTCACATACGTACATACCAAATCAAATAATTGAAAGTTCAGTTTTTAACTGGATACAGTCAGTTTTTCAGACTGCATTATCAATTTAGTAGGAAACCTAATTCATCAAAGTATTTGATGATATTCGTTTGTAGTATATGTTTCTGAAACACCTAAAAAATGGATGCTTACAAGATTAAGTAAAGAGATATCGAGTTGACTTCAAACGGCAAGTTACAGTATACTTGCAGATAATTATCCACGTGTATATCAGTTCGTATAAGCAAAAGAACGATTAAGTGAACAACTTGTCCATGATTAGTTAAATTCACTACGACAGAGCGAAATTCAGAACGCTTTTTCAAATTATGTCGACTCAAATATATGTATCACAACTAGGTAATTTTAAACAGCATTCAGTGGGAAAAATCACCAGATTTTCTTGCACTCATCATGCTGTACGCTTTGCTTAAGTCATAATCAAGTAAACTGAACCCAACAGCTATCGGTCAATTAGTCAGCTATGACAAAGGATAAGGCACATATATACATCGGTCCGAATTGCCACACCTCATTAGCACAAAAACATGATCACCAAATTCATAAAGGTAGTTACTTCAATGGCAATAATATATGAGAGAAAGATTGCATATAAGGATATAATACAGAGAGAAAGAATTCGCTCGTAGGAAGAAAGATATAAAATAATTTTAATCTCATGGTTTGATGGAAGACAGAGTGTAATCGATTGTGATCGATTCTCGGCCATGTCACCCAGTCTCCAGTCATTGGTTATGATCGTCGCGTGGACCCCAACCAAGTAGTCTGCATCTACCACCATGGCTCAGATCAGAAGTTAGTGACTTCAAGCACTGATGCCACGTTTTGGTTTGGCCGCCCCTAACTTTTTTCCAACCGTCTCCAACACCAGTCAGCATTGCGCGCCGTGGTAGTCAGTGGTAGCTTAACCATCTCAGTCGATGTAAATTCACAGCCTTATCAACTGATTTACCATTATTCCCTAATACCCTGTGTCTAACCTCACTGTTACTTACCTAGTGATCCAAGCAGATGCGAGCAGTATTTCTAAGGCATTTTTGACCAAATACTAGTACAGCAACACTAAACAACTGAAGATATTTTGATGAATAGCCTCGTGATGACCATAATAATGAAACTTATAGTCTACAAAACTCCAAAATCATCCACCTGAGCTACAAATCTTCTCCACCATCTACGAACCAAGATACGTAAATGAAATTGGAGCCAGACTAATCAATAACAGAGGACACTTTGGGAGACTACATGAGTTGTAGTGTTTATTTATTAAGGAAATTTAAAATTATCCTTCATAGCAATTATCAGGAATTATACGATCTTAAAACCTGGGGATTTCATGGGGGTAAGGTGTAGTTATTAGAGTTTGTCTAATCAAACAGGAGCCAAAAGGACGGTTTTAAAGGATTATAACTGGAATGACTGGCCGATGTGCACAATATAAGCCACATTTCACTTACAAAGTAGAATATCTTGAAAGCTAATAAAGTAATTTTGAGATGTTAAGTAGCTTCACATCAACTTAGTCGAGTTTTAGGAGTATAATATACGATAGACATTATAAACTAAGTAACTATGGGCTGGGGACTGAGAAACCGGGTTGTAACACTAAAAAGGATGGTTACAACTTTTAGGTTATCACGAAAGCTACACATCAACTTTTGCGTTAGCTTCCCCCGCTGCTTAGCTGCATTTTATTAGCAACGCGTTGTACCAAAGTAAAATACAAATTTTAACACGTACCCATTTCTCGTAAGGGGACGTCTATACAATTAAGGTGATAATTCACAATATAACGTAATGGCTAAAAGTTTTAATATACCATCTCCCCAAATGCTCTGGTACGGCCGAGAGTACGGATAGTCTGCTTTCTCTCGAAATGATCTCATACGGCCACGAGTACACAGCCACTGCCAGGGAAATTCTCCTCACCGCCTTATCGCGGGGGTGTTGTTTACGAAGTTGGAATAAAAAAAAAGCGAACACCAGACGCTTAAGCTGAGTTGGTGAGTACGAAGAATCCACCTAGAAGAGTTCGAAAATCGTGATCCCAAACCAATGGAGCATATGGGCTCAGTGATTCTGAGGGAACGAATGGCGTGTGAACCTATTCTTGGCCAACAGCCACAACTGGACAACATCTAACGTTGATCCATTTCGTTATAGATTAGAGCTCTGAGTTAAAGGTTCGGGCAGTGGCTCCCTAAAACCACTTGCTTTAGTTTGAGCATCCGGGTAGTATCCCAGCTCACAGTTTCAATGATTTGTGTGGTGCGATGTTTTATCCTGGTGTCTAAACAATATTGATAGAAATAAATTTAAAATACAAAACCAAAGATTAGGAGACAAGTATTGAGACTATTTTGCATCTTAATTCAAAATAGTATTATTACAAAATCCCGAGATTAAAAACAAACCATCGGCAGCAGAACCTTACTGAGTTTTTACCACTTTTACACTAGTCGCAGAAAATATACTTTTATGTCTTCCTATCTGCATATATTTATCGCCAAATGAGTGTGAAAAAAGACATACGAACAGGATAGATACCAATGTTTACTAACTAGTGTAATCGGACTTACATTGTAGTTGGTCAAAACAGTTTCAGCTGCTGTGGCAACTAAAGACTGGAATGAATGGTTTCTCGCGACGAAATCAGTTTCACAATTAACTTCGACAATAATAGCATGACTTCGAGAACCTAGGACCCCTAGAAGACCCTCATTCATCGCTCTTCCGGCTAGTTTTCCTGCTTTGTCCCATCCTCGACTAACAGCTTCGCTAGCTAACCATTCTTTTGCCCTATCAAGATCATTTTCATGTTTGATGAGAGCTTCTTTGCAAGCCGAAAAAGTGAAGCCTGTCAATTTGCGCAGTTTGTAGAGTAATGCTTTGTCAGCTGCTTGAGAGAAGAGCCGAATATGGACACAGAATTTAGATGTCTTGCAGGCCAAGGTAGGAAAAATTAACACATTCATGTTTATGTAACAACCACATTTAACAGTAGGCCTCGTTTGGCAGTGTTTCAATATCCAATATCTTTGTCTTCAATCATTCTTCAGTAATAAGGACAGTCGGTGTACGTGTGTTAATCTTTGTAGCTTGTTTAACAATGAAAGTCCAGCTACTTGAAACTATTCTTTGATGGGACTGATACCACTTGTTCGGGTAAGCGTTCCAGTCATTGACCGCTCGATGAAAAAACGGAACCCTACTCTAGGTTTATGAGATAATGGTCTTGGAACCTTCGTGCTATGGCCTTAGAGACGATCATTTCTGGAGAGAGCAGAAATATTGGACATATAAACATCCGAATCGTTATTAAAGACATAAAGTGCCAATATAGCTTCACTTCGTGCTCTAAGATACAAGCTGATAAGGTTCGGAGGTTTTAAGCGCTCACCGTAAAGACCCTTCAACAACTTTTTCCCATGCACTGAATGCACCTAAGTGAGTTAGTACCCTTAGTAGGACATGTGCCAGCATCTTGGATACAATAATGTAGGTTTAGTCTCACATAGCTGAAACGTCTCTTTGATAAAACATTTGAATGCTCAGTGAAGTGATCATAACGCACGAAAACCTTTGTAAGCCGCTGCGTTGCAATGCGCAGTTGTTTTTAAGTTGTGAGTTATTGTTACCCCTAAGTATTTGTGTTCCTGAACACATGGAAGCGATGTACCGTTGATAATATAATGTTAAATATTGCCGTGTCTGATGTGCATTAGCACGGTCTTTCTAGGATTAATTTCCAAGCTTCAACTTTGCGACCATCTAACTAATTCATCCACTTCACCTCAGAGATCAAAACGATCAGCCTTACTACTTATAGTTCTCCAGAGTTTTACATCATTAACAAACAATAATGTCAACAACTTAAGCAGTCTGTTAATTCATCGACGTAGAAAAGGAAAAGTAGGGGACCTAAGATAGTGCGTTGGGTTACACTACCTTTAACCAGCTTCTGCTCGGATAGGGTCCCATTCTTTCTCACACTCTATCTTCGACTAGAGAGGGAGCTTCTAATCCATTTTTGCACGGCACCTGTTATTTCATAGCTCGAAGGCTCCTGAATAAGACCTAAGTGGGAAAACATATCAAATGTTCTGCAAAAATCTATGATTGCCACATCAACAAACAAACTGTTATCTTGTGCTGCTGGTAAGCTGGTTCAGCATGAATGCTTATTTGGAAACCCTTATCGCTCAGCAATTAACAGATTGTTTGGATCTGTGTGACTAAGTAAATTAACCTGGACCATTTTTTGAGATATCTTAGCTAATAAGCGGGTTACATTGAAAAGTTGGTACCTAGGCACGATCTGTCTTCTTCCATATTTAAATATAGGATTGGTTATAGCATCTTTTTAATCCTTAGGGGCTTAAACAGCATCCAGAGTGGTCCTGAAATAGTATCTGCAAGAGATGACAGCGAGCGGGGATGTATCCTATCAGGACTCGGTATCTTACTAGGTTTGAGGTCAATGAATAATTGAAAAACAGCTTCCTCAACCACATCTACAGATCCCATAAATCGTATTCCAGTGGTGTGTGTATGAGAAGTTTTGTTGACAATACTCGTGCAGTAGATTCCTGAAATAGTTCGATGAAGTCTTGGCATTGGCCAGATCTGATTCAGTTAGTGTATCTGAATTTCCATGCAACAATCACAAAGAAATACCACCACCACGCCTTGTCCTTCTAGTGTTAAGAAACAGTCTTTTCGGGAAAGTACAGCTACCGTGTAATGACTGCCTTTCGTAAGTGATGGGGCTGTAATCATTTTACATATGTTCCAGATTTTTCAGTATTAACACTTCAACGATTCGTGATTTGTTTAAAAGGACAAGTCCCAGAAGTATTTTCTACCCCTCTGCATCCATCCATGGAGGACAATTTGATAGCCTACGTGTCGACCATAGGATGAATGGTAGTGTTACGGGCTCGAATGCGGCTTTTAACTTATCTCATTCTCCTTCGACCGATCTATCTACATTGGCCGACTAACCTTATGAGGTAACACACTCTCTGATTGCAGAAACGTTAGTCCGCCAGATATTGGGACGAGGTGGAGCAGATACATATTGCATCTTGTGTCCGAAACCTAAAGTACTGTATAACATGATCGCCGTTCGCTTGCGGAGGGAGGTGTAGGGATATGATCTACTTCGGTATTAGTACTACTATAATGATAGACCTAATCCCAAAACTGTGGATTTGTCGCGGTGTGATTGCCCGATCTATAAAATCTTATATGGTAGTCACCTTATCTCTATACTGACTCGCCCCATTGTGACGACCAGCAGTATGACGTCCAGCATTGTTGAAGAATATATTCGAGCTGGGAGGATAGTAATGTATTCGATGACAAAAGTCAGGGGGGTTAGTAACAGCGCCTGTATGAAGGAGACATGCCATTTTGATTAATCGTTCTCACGATCAGCACTGTCCACGTTCTCCAAATGTTACATATTGAATGTAAAACTTCCTAGTAATTATATGCTTAGTTTCGAAGACCATGTGGCTAGGAAAAAACAACTAACAAATACGTGACGGTTTAGTTATTATACCAGTGCAGTGCGATAATATCTTACTGTGCTGACTTTATTATCTTAACTATGTTGAACGTCTTCTTAGACAACTAATATGATAGCCAAATCCATACGTCCAAATACTTATAGCAATAACGACTATAATGAAATTGAAAATAACTTGGCAGAAATAGTTAAACGTCGGGACACGACGTATGGAATTATAGTTAGGAAAGTGATGTGTATAATATAGAATTTTCATAAGAAGTCCCTGTAGTTAGCCTAGTAATATACATAAATATGTGATAATGAAAATCAGAACTAAGGAGTGTCAAAATACTGATCAGTCTTATACGGTTTTTCCGAAAACACTACCCTTACTCATAGTAGTATGTCACTTGAAGCCATTAAATACATATCATTTTCAAAACGGTTTTAGGAGTGGTTAATATGAGGTACATACAGCTAGTCTAAATCAAAATATTAAAAACACGGTAAACCATCTGGCAAAATAGTAAAACTCGCCTGGATTATTTTCGGAATTCAAGTTGCCTAACAGATTTAGTGTATAGGAAGCTAATCGTGACATAATATAGATCTAAAAGAAACGAGATCAAACACGCAGCAGTGCAAATAATTCCAGAATGCGTGACGCTATTGATTTTACCACTCGTTTGATTCAGTACAAAACAAGGAGTCTAACTAAATATGTTGCCATCACTACATAGACAATCTAAAGTGAGATGTCCCAGTGTGGACCATGATCCTCCTCACATGTGATTGAAAGCACAACTCTTATTTCTCCTATTTTACCCCATAGTCATCTTATGTTGCCATATAGACACTTAATGGTTTGTCTCATCACCTAGTGCTTTCCTGTAGCGGCGTGACCTCTGTTTTCAAACAGATTTTTGTTCAACGTTTGTTAGCCAGTTCTGTGCAAACTGGCCGCTGTGTGTTCCTTGCTTGTGTTGTGTGTTCCATTAGCGAGGCCGTAGTCTGCGTTCTGCACGTTGGGCTGCCGGTCAAGGTGAACTAACACAATAATGTTTTCAGTTGGGTTTTTATGCCAGTGGCCTACCAATCTAGGTCGTATTTCGTAGCATCTCTTGATGTAACTCCCGTAGTCGCATGCCTGGCTGAAACTGTGTTAGACGAATTTTGTATACTGTTGGGCAAGGCTGAGGTTGTTTGCAAAGGGGTCTTATGCCTCTCTTTTGTTAGTCGTTCTGGTGTATTTTTATACACTTTACTTATTTACTTACTCCTGTTACCCTTCATGAAGGAGCATAGACCACTCACCAACATTCTCCATACAACTCTGTCCTGAGAAATCCGTTCCAGTTGTTTCTAGTTGCTATTCATTTTTTTCATGTGTGCTTCCAATTACCGACACAGAGTTCTTAGATCTTTCTTTTTTCCGTTTTCCTTCAAGACTCCGCATCAGGACTTGCCTTGTGATGCAGTTTGATGATTTTCACAGTGTGTCCAGTCCACCTCCGTTGTCTTCTCCTAATTTCCTATTCATCTAGAAGCTGTATTGTTCTACCCCACAGTAGGCCGTTGCTGATGGTATTCGCTCAGCTGACATTCAGTAGTTTGTGTGGATAATTGTTTATAATTACTTGTACCTTCTTGATGATGGTCTTGGTTGTTCTTCAAGTTTCATTTCTGCACAGTAGAATTATCTTGACGGTCGTCCTGGAGATTGTGACTTTTATTTTGGTTTGTATACAGTTCTTTTGAATTCCATATGTTCTTTAACTACAGAAATGCCGTTTTTACTTGATCAATCCTCACCTTTACGTCTGAATCAGATCCCCCACGTTCATCGATGATGCTGACCAGGTACGTAAAACGTTTTCACCTATTCTAGAAATTCTCCATCAAGTATGGTTAGGTTGGTGTTCTCCGTGTTGTACTTCAGTATCTTGTCTTTTCGTTCTTGTATGTTGAGGCCTACTAGTGCGGAGGCTGTTGCTGCACTGGTCGTATTCTACTACATTTGCTGGTGTGTATGTGATAAAAGGGCCAGGTCATCTGAGAATTCCAAATCGTCTAGTTGCATCCACCTGTCCATTTTATTCCGTGCTTCCCCTCAGATGTCTAGGTCTTCATAATTCACTAAACCACCAGACGATAGAGGAAGGAGGAGAGTACGCAGCCTTGTGTAACTCCGGCCCTTACATGGAATGAATCTGTCAGGCGTCCTCCACACACAACTTTGCGCTGTAGTACTTTGTATCAATTCCAGATGATGTTGGTGATTTTCTCAGGTACTCCATAGTCTCGAAGAAGTTTGCGTAAGGTTCTACTCTACACACTGTCGAATTCTTTCTCTTAATCAGTGGAGTTGATGTATGGTGACGAATTCCATTCAACTGATTGTTCGACAATGATCCGTAGTTTCACAATTCGACCTGTACACAATCGATTCTTACGAAATCCAGGCTGTTGATCTCGGAATTAAGTGTCTACCGAAACTTTCATCCGGTTCAACAACACTGATGAA